AGGGTATAATGAAGCCCAAATCAGCTGGATCAAACTGTTAATAATGTGCAAATTACAGGGTTAAAAAAGACTCCAAGTACCGGCTGCCATGGATATACATGATGGGTTTAATAATGCAGATTGGGATGAAGATGATCGGAATGAAACTGTTCTAGAACAACTCCTGAGGCATACCAAATGATTGACATCTGGGGTGGTAAAATATGTCTATCATTCTTTCTAGGATAACCCACAAAACCCAGGAAGGGTAAAATCTCAGCAGAAAAGCAGCACAACAGAAGCAAACAACTATCCTCAATTAACCCACACCTGCTGAGAAGGAACGTGGAACAAATGGACAAAATAAGATGGCAGAACTAAATCCAAATACAGTGAAATTGTACTAAGTGAAATGAATAAAATTCTTTAGTTAAAAACAAAAGATAACCACAGAAAAAAATGGTAAATTTGGTCATTAGTGTAAATCAAATCTCAAACACATGGATATAGAAATAGTTCGATTCAAAGAGAAGAAAATGTATGTCTGGCAAAGGTTAAGAAATGTGGCATAATATGTGTAATTAATATCTATGTTCATATCAGATAAAATGGGAGACCAGACAAAAGTGATAATAGTTTGAAGTGACTTAAACCCACTGCAGGGCTGGCATCCGATATAAGCACCAGTTTGAGTCCTGGCTGTTCAGCTTGGATCATCTCATACTGAAGCACCTGGGAACTCAGGAGAGATGGCTCAAGTACTTGAGCACCTGCACCCATCTGGGACACTTGGATGAAGCTCCCTGCTCCTGGCTTTGGCCAGCTCCACAGCCCAGGTTGTTGTAGCCATTTGAAGAGGGAAACCCGTGGATGATAAATCTCTCTCCCTTTTTCTGATGCTTCCTTTAACTTTGTCTTTTGAATAATTTGAAAGAAAGGGCCCAGTGCAATGGGATCAGTAGCTAAAATTCTCACCTTGCAAGCACCAGGATCCCATATGGCCACCGGGTTGTTTCCTGGCTACTCTACTTCCCATCCAGCTCCCTGCTTGTGGCCTGGGAAAGCAGCAGAGGATGGCCCAAAGCCTTGGGACCCTACACCCACGTGGGAGACATGGAGGAGGCTGCTGGTCCTGGCTCCTGGCCTTGGAATGGCTGAGCTCCTGCTATTGTGACCACCTGGGGAATGAACCAGTAGACAGATCTTTCTGTCTCTCCTTCTGCCTGTAAAATCTTGCTTTCCAATAAAAATAAATAAATCCTTTAAAAAATAAAGTTTAAAACTGCTGGAAAAATATGAAAATTGCCAGCTTATTATACAGAGAAGCAAAAATAAACTACAAGACAAAGTTAACAAAAACCCACCATATTTAGAGTAGAAAGGTAACAAAATATTATGTGTTAAACTAAATATCTAAATAGATGTTTACAATGATGTACGCATTCTGAAATGCTTCCATTAGGAAAAAGACGTTCAAAATTAACGAACTGTGTGTATTCAATTTGAGAAGTTAGAAAAAGGAACAGCAAACAACTCCTCAAACCAAATTTTTCTAAAGTTAAAGGAAATAAATAATAAATGTAGAGGGAGAAATCAATGAAGTAAAAAGCAATTACAGAATTGCGAGTCCAGACAAAGCCATTTCCTGAAAGCTTAATGAAACTAACAAGCCTCTGTTAAGATTAGCCATGATGAATAAAATAAGACAAATTAATCCATTCGGAAAATGGAAAATATAACTAATATAGATAAGGTTTTTTTTTTTACAAGGTTTATGTATTTATTTGAAAATTACAGACAGACAGAAAGTCTCCCTCTGCTGGTTCACTTCCCAAATGACCACAATGGCTAGTGCTGGGCCAGGTCAAAGCCAGGAGTCAGGAGCTTCTTCCAGGTCTTGCATAGAGGTGCAAAGGCTCCAGCACTTGGGCCATCTTCCATTGCTTTCCCAATGCATTAGCAGGATGCTGAATTGGAAGTAGAGCGCTAGGATTTGAACTAGCACCAATGGGTTGCCTGTATCACAAATAGAGGCTTAACTCACTACAACACAGTGCCAGACCCAAGGATATTGTGGGTAACTGTATGCCAATAAATCTAGAAACTTAAAAATAAATGTGGGCATGATAACCTAGTGGCTAAATCCTCGCCTTGCATCCACTGGGATCCCATATGGGCTTCAGTTCGGAACCCAGCTGGTCCACTTCCCATCCAGCTTTCTGCTTGTGGCCTGGGAAAGCAGTTGAGGACGGCCCAAAGCCTTGGGACCCTGCACCCGTGTGGGAGACCTGGAAGAAGCTCCTGGCTCCAGTTACAGATTGGCTCAGCTCTGGCCATTGTGACCAATTGGGGAATGAACCAGCAGATAGATCTTTCTTTCTGTATCTTTTCTCTGTATATCTGCCTTTCCAATAAAAATAAACAAATCTTTGAAAAATATAAATTCCTAGAAAAATGCAACGTGTAAACACTGACTCCAGAAGACATGGACAACTCACCTTGTGATTAATATCTCCCCAACAGACAAAGAGATCATCTCAAGAAATGCAGAAAAAGCTGTCGATGAAATTATGTATTCATTTTTAAAGAAGCTCTACAAACTAGGAATAAACAGAAATGCCCTTAATCTAGTGCGGGGCGTCTAGAAACAACCTCAAACCTTTAAACTGAACGGTCTGTGACTTGTGAAGGTATTCGCTGTTGTACCGCAGCAGGAAGCTGGAAAAACATACATTTGGTAAGCCCACTCTGCCTTACTCAGCGAAACTCAACAAGACCCCTATGGTGTAGTAACCTTACTTTTAGGTATAAACCTTGAGAAAACATTTGCACTTTTGCAATGTTGCTCATAGCAATATGGTCCATACAAGCAGAGAGCTGGAAAAACTCATCTACTCACCCTAACAGAACAGATAAACTGACCAAAGTGTATCTATCTGATGCTCCGCTCCAGCAGACGGCCCCATAATGTAGGTGGCACATTAAGGAGCCAGAAGAGACAGCAGCCTCACATTCTGGAGTGCAGCTTTGAATCCTGGCAGCTCCACTTTCTCTCCAGCTTCCTGCTAATGTGCATGGAAGCACAGCAGCAGATGGCCCAATGCTTGGGTCCCTGTCATTCATGTAGGAGACCCAGATATATTCCAAGGCCCCTGACTTCTGCCTGGCCCAGTCCCGACCAATGCAGCCATTTGGGGGAATAAACCAGTATATGGGCAATCTTTCTGTCACTCTACCTTTCAAATAAAAGTCTTTTAAAAACTTAAACAAAATCTGGGCCCGGTGCGATAGCATAGCGGTTAAGGTCCTCACCTTAAACACTGGAATCCCATATCGGCACCAATTCTAATCCTGGTATCCCGCTTCCCACCCAGCTCCCTGCTAGTGGCCTGGGAAAGATTCGAGAACGGCCCAAAGCCTTGGGACCCTACACCCGCATGGGAGACCCAGAAGAGCTCCTGGCTCCTGACTTCGGATTAGCTCAGCTCCAGCTGCTGTTGTGGCTGCTTGGGGAGTGAACCATCAGATGGAAGATCTTCCTTTCTGTATATCCGCCTTTCCAATAAAAATAAATAAATCTTTTTTTTTTTTAAAGTTAAACAAAATCTGCTCCAGTTCTACTGGTACAGGGATGCTTCCATTCTTGAAAAAAGAATTATCTTTTTTTCTCTTTGACTTTCTCCCTATGGGTTAGCACTAGACCTACAACACTACAAGTTAAATAAGAAAGACAAATCATAGAAATATTATCCTGTGTAACATGCATCAAAGTAAGCAATAAGGATGCATATATATGTGGTAAAATGTTAGGAAAAAACAAGAGTGATTAACACAAAATTTGAAACAGTGATCACCTCCTGAGGAGGCAGGTATTCAGCTAGGAATGAAACGACGCAGTTGGTGAGCTCGTATGATGACGTTCTGGTCTATCAGCTGAGTGCTGGTACTCAAGGGCAGCATTACTGCTCTCCATTATTTTACACATATATGTTCTTAAAAAAAAAAAACCTCTCTTCTATAACCCATAATACCTGATTTTGAATCAAAGGGATCCACCTGACAATCTTGCTTAAAGGAGAAGGAGTCTTACCTGAGGTCTGGCCACAGCGGACTGCCAGGGGCCCAGGGCAGGGCGTCCAAATCCTACGTGGTTGCAGGAGAGACCTTCTTCAGGAGGGGCTCGAAGTCTTGCAGTGAGGGTTGCAGGATCCCAGGAGAATCCTTCCAAAAACTTCCTCACAAAAAAGCAAATTAAAACCGCAGGATCCCATTTGTGGGATGGCAACAGTTTTTTAAAAAGTTGACAATGCCTGCATGGAAATGGAACTGCCTAAGAGGCCAGAAAAGCTATTGCAAGATTAACCTGAATATGAAGCAGGAACAACGAAAAGACCCACAGGAAGAGGTGAAAGGAGCGGTGAGAGAAGGACAGAGGGTCACCCCTGGGCGTCGGCCTTGGTCAGCTTGACTGCAATCATACAAGCAGTGTGCTAATGGCGAAAGGCTCTTCTCTAATTCCTACATGTGCTAGACAGGAAACGCCTTGTATTCCAGTTGAACGAGATGGTAGTGTTCGAGTTTAAAGGAATACCGTAGAATGCTCTAATGACAACAGTACTAAGGAGGTGAACTGGAGCCAATGTACAAGCTTAAGCAGCGTCTGCAGAGACTGGTTGTCCACAGTGACTGTGGTGCATGGCAGGGATTTTTGTCACGCACACCATGGTCACCTGAGTGTCTAACACAGCACAGGAGGCAATATTTGTGGAATACCTGGTTGGATGGGCTTAAAAACTGAACACAGGAGAGTAAGAAACAGGAAGACTTTCCTTCCTCAAGCCTTAAACAACATGTTTTCTTGCACTACCATCAGTGACTTTCTAGATGAGAGGCTCAGGAACCCACGTCAGGGTGTCAAGTCTCACCTTCCCAGGTCCAGCACAGCACCCAGCGGCAGAGGGACAGGCCCTGCGTGACCCAAGAAACCACAACCAGAAACACAAACCGGAAGAACGTTTTGTTTCAGTTCTCCATGGAGAATATTTTTATTTACTTATAATTCTTCTTGAATATTCTAAAGCACACAGTGTGGATTTCCTTTCTTTCAAGACAGTTGTGAGTCTGGTCAATTTGTCTGAGATCTTCAGAAACATTGCCTTAGGTTTCAGCTAAGCGAGTCACAGGGATTGGTCATGAACACTACAAAATTATGGGAGGCCCAGGTATGACCCAATAGTTGCTACAAAGGCATAGGGGACACCAAGACAACACAGCCAGATACAGAGGGTGAGAGAGGGTAGATGCTGTGAAGGAATAGGATTTCCATATACATTACTCTATGTACAGTATAAGAGTTCATTTGCACACAGTATATTTATGCTAAAATCATTGGTGTAAGGGCACTCTAAGATAAATACAAGTCTCACGAATAATAATCTGTTCTCTTTGGCTCACAAAAGCACAGAAATACCATAAACAGTATTCAGAACTTACTTCATTAATATATAAATAAGATACATTACAAATGGGAGGAAAATACAAGATGCTCTTTAACATGATAAATCTCTGAATATAAATAAGCAAATATTTGCACTCACCTACAATTAAAGTTATTGAAATCATTACTTGAGTTCTTCCTTCCCCCACTCCCCCCCATGACAATAATTTACACAATCTACACAAAATAATCTCTAAAAATACGGCCATAGTACACCTGTAACAAGGACTCCGTTCTGCTTTCCCGTAGCTGGACACTAATGGGGAGGGTGTGACTCCTGTCAGCTACTGGTGCCTGTTCTCATCCATCATTACTTCAGGTAGGAGAGAAGCACTGACAGAGGACCACTCTCCTGGGACATGGCATTTTGAAAAACATCTGGTCTGCAGATGATGGACAAGCTGGATTATAGCATGTTTAGCCCCTCAGTTACATGCTGTGGCGTAAGACTAAGTCCACTCGCTATACGTACATATAGAGAGCGGTCTAGATAACTGTACATATGTACTGTGCTCCTAATGTGCAACTGCTGAAAAAGAACCTAAGTCCTGCTAACTACAACAAACAAGCTCAAGGAAGGATTGAATGGTTGTCGTCGACAGATTGCCTTTTCCCTCCATGGAATGGCCTGTGTGTTTCCGTAACACATGGAGGTTTGCTCTAGGAGGCCTCAGGGGAATGGCAATGCCCCACCAACTCGGGTTCTGCCATGGGTGCTTACAGGTCCTGGCCCAGTCTTTCTATCTCCTCAATGAGGAAGTCGATGTCTGACTGGGTTGCAGCCGGGTTTGAGATGACCATCCGGAAGAAGTTGGCTTTGTCCCCCTGAGGCTGGTAGCCAACCATGGTGGTGCCTGACTCCATCATTAGAGCTTTGATCTTTGGAGCCACCTTGTGATGGAAAACACACAAAACAGCACTCAAAACCAACAGCAACACACTCTCTCTCTCTCTCTTTTTTTTCCCCCCAGCAACTCTACCCAGCTTATTTTGTGCATGGGTCTTTGGAGGCTAACATCTAATGACTATCCCGTTTTTCCCTCAAAAAGTACTGTGGGGCTGAATTTTGAAAGTCAATCATAGAGCAGTAATAAAATGAAAAAAGGAAAACAACATTTAAAAAAACACTCTTATAGGGAACAATGCAAATCAAGGCTTGTTTCTTTGCAACTCAGGCACACAAACTATGTTTAACAAATTGCTGACTGGTGCCCAGTGGCGTGGCCTAGCAGCTAAAGTCCTCGCCTTGAACGCCGCGGGATCCCATATGGGCACCGGTTCTAATCCCGGGAGCTCCACTTCCCATCCAGCTCCCTGCCTGTGGCCTGGGAAGGCAGTCGAGGACAGGCCAAAGCTTTGGGACCCTGCACCCGTGTGGGATACCCAGAAAAAGTTCCTGGATCCTGGCTTCAGATCGGCATAGCATCGGCCATTACGCTCACTTGGGGAGTGAATCATCGGACAGAAGATCTTCCTCTCTGTCTCTCCTCCTCTCTGTGTACCTGACTTTCCAATAAATAAGTAAATCTTTTTTTTAAAAAAATTGCTGAATGAAACAGTGCATAAATTTAAGGCAATGAATAAACTGGATAAAAAATTCAATGGCTAGATGGACCTACGTCAGATCTGAGCTCAGTGCAAGGTAGTATAGTAGATATACTTGAATCCAGAGTGTTCCTAGGAATATCATTCACCTGCCCACCTAAGAACATCCACCTGAGGCAGCCTGCACACCTCCCTGAACCACCACCAGGGGACAATGCACACCCAAGAGAAAAACCACCAAGATGGCACTCAAAACCACCTCATGCAAAGCCCATCCCAAGTTTCTATCTTTTCTTTCTTCCCCATCAGAAAAGCACATTGGCGGGAGATTCCTGAGCAGCCATGGAACCCACAGAGGATTAGATGAGACAAGTGAGGCCATGTACACACATACCCTGTGGAGCTTTTCCCTTCGCTCAGGGCTGTCAGGAACACCCCTGAGGCTTTGTGGAATATACCAGAAACAGACGTTGGTGTGTTCAGGCTGCAGAGACATTAACAAACAAGCAAACAAAACAAGCAGAATGATGAGCCCCTGAAAGAAAGTAGTCTCCAAACCCATGTGCCCTTCATGGAGAGCTCTCAGACCCCTGAAAGAAACTGGGTGTATCTCAACGGTGCTGTTACTTCTGCTTAGGGAGAAGATCTGGTTTATCCAGTCAGGTCTAATTCTCTAGATAACACCATCTCTAAACATTGAGATGTTGCAAATAATTACATTTTGGACACGGGCCAAAAATGGTCTGATCCATTTGGTGGTGTTCTACTTCTGTACATGGAGAAAGTGCCTGTCATAGTTTATTTTACTGGTGATGACATTTTATTGAGCCTCTATTATAGCTCTTTAGTCCCTCCCTCCCTCCTTATTGTTTACTAACATTGTGCCCACTTCTACTTCATTTCAGGCATCATGCTTGTTGTGTTACATAGACCATGAGTATTAGCATATATAAGAGTTAATTATATACTGATTATATGTGTAATCAATCAGAGTAAGACCTCAGAGGTCAGATATATGCGCATTATTTCATTGATGTTAATTGCTCAGGACTCTTCTGTTCATTTGGTGACTCGACTATTTTCATAAAGATACAGGCTGTCTAATAAATAAATGTAAGTGGTGTTCTATGAGTATTGTGTGATTTCTGAGTGGCGTTCTCTTTCCTTCAACCCTGGCTCCTGTTCCATCTGTCTTCCTTCAGTGGTGAGCCCCGTCAGGGCAGAGGCAGTATTTGTCCTGGTCAATACAATATAAGCCAGTCCTTGGCATAGGATCCAGCATATCAGTGATATGATAAACATGGAGATACTTTTCAAAACTTCACAGAAAGTAGAATTATAACTTAAATTCATTTTGGTGCAAATGTGTTCGAAGTCCTACATGGGTTTTTTTCTAATATGCATTTTCCATAAACTTCTGGAAGCTCCCTGGTCCTTCACGATGTGGAGGTGGCCTCAAGGGCAGCGGTGATCTTCTCTAGCCATGTCACAATGAATCTATGCAAAGTAGAGCCTCATTTTAGAAGCAGTATCGGACAGCTAGGACAGCCCCAACCTGTAAGCTTCTTGGAACTAAAAAAGCACTTTGTCATGGGGATTCAACACAAGGCCAACCCTAGAATGAAGAATTGTTCTGTCCTGGCAGGCAAGGAGGGCTCCCCTTGGCTGCAAAGCACTGGCTGACAGTATCAGTTTGGGAAGGGGTGGAAGGAAAAAGTCACCTAAAAGCTCTCAGCAGCAAATGTCATGAACATAAGGGAATTAAAGAATGGGTTCACCTGGGTAAAGGTGGAGAAATGTGGTTTCAGGAACCACCCTCAGTGGTTTTTCTGGAAGCACGTTGCACCTGCTCCATGAGAACAACCTACCTCGCCATCAAATACCATCTCAAATTCTTCTCTGTTCTTAATCTTGGCATACAGGTACTCAGCCAGTTCCAGGCATTTGTTGATCTGATTTTCAAATCCCACTGTACCCTGTTTTGAAGAGAAAAGGTGCAGCTGTTGGTCACCTGTTGCATGTTCTGGTGATGGGTCTTGGGGAAAGCTAAGCTGCTCTTGTTTATAGGAAATACACATTCTTGGAGGGAGATAGAAAGACAGCCTCTTCACAGCTCTGCTTGCAATAAAATAAAGTGTGCCTCTCTGCTGTCGAGGCACTCTAGGCTTTGGGCAGTTATTCTCAACAGGGCTTGTAACTTCCTGCTGGTTAGCCACAGCCTGGGCTGGAGGCCCATTTTTGGTCTGTTTTAGGATGGTGATACTCCAAGTGTCATCCACATTGAGGCCAGTTCACCAACTGTAACCAGTACAGCAATGGAGATGAAGCAATAAAGAAACCCTGAAAGCAATCTGACAGTCACTTTCTGTCTACTGAATCTAATACAAAAAATAGTGGCTTCTGCTTTGTATGTTTAATTTCATTTTCCTAGCCTTCATCTTTTTTGCATTGGTCTATGAGGTTTGAACAAGCAATTAGGGCTGGGTGTTTAACACAGCAATAGAGACATGGCTTGTGACACCCACATCCCACATTGCAGTGCCTGAATTTGAGGCCTGGCTCCCTGTCCTATTCCTTCATCTTAATACAGACTCTGAGAGGCAGCGATGATGGCTCAAGAGCTTCAACACTGGCACCCATGCAGTTGAGTCCCAGCTCCGGGATTCTCCTGGCCCAGCCCCAGGTTGGGGATATTTGAGGACAGAAGAGCACAAGAGAGATCTCTGACTCCTCTATCTACCCCCCCCCCCACACACACACTTTCCCTTTCTGTCCTCTCCTCTCTTCTTCTCACCTCACCTCTCCACTCCTCTCCTCTCCTCTCCTCCCTTCCCCTCCCCTCCGCTTCCTTCCCCTCCTTTCCTCTCCTCTCCATAATTCAAATAATTTTAAAAAGTTTAAAAGAGCAAATAAGTGGTTTATTTCCCTATAGATTGTGAGCAATACTGCCTTAGATTCCTTCTTCCCTAGTGGTGTATCCTGACTAAACACTTCCCACACCTTTCTAGGCAGGCTATCTTCCCCACAGCACATGATCATCACCCCTTCCAGAGACAGACTGGCAGGCAGATGGGGAAGCCACTGGTCCCAGTCCATGCCTGGAGATTCCAATAACTCCGACTACTGACAGACTGGTGGAGTGTGAATTTCAGAAGTCAGCAGGGCTGCGACAGCAGTAGCAGGGTTGCTGAGTGGGTCTGTGTTAACAAGGAGAGCAGATGCATGAGGCTGACTTGCAGATGGCTCACAGGCCTGGGTGGAGTCCAACACTGGCAAAGAGGGAAACTCCCAATGTGGTGTTCCTGCTGAGTATGCATGCTGGCCCGCCACCCCACGGTCCCACCTCGGCAACCAACGCCCGTGAGCCAACCCTGCTGAAGATGGTTCAGCAGGTGATTGACTAGTAGGCAAAGCTAAGACAAAAAATGATGGAGATGGGCCATGTGGTCAAACTGGTATTAGGATTCTTATTGCAGTGGATGGTTGTTTATGTGCTTAACATCCCTATGACGACTTTACAATAAAAATCAAATTAGGATTGTTTTTTTGGTTAAGAAAATGATTTCAGGAGGAAAAAGCTAATCATCTGCTAAAATCTTCCAACAGAATGAATATATGACTAGACACTTTTATGGAAAACTTTGTTGTTTGGGTGTTCAGTATTCTCACAAACTTGGAAATGACTAAAACTAACTGGCAGTAGATAAAGACAATGGGTGTGAAATGAAGCTGTGAAATCAAGACTGCTTTTACTTGATGGCATAAAAATACTTTTGGAGCAAATAGTCAAATGGTCGTCCTCTCCCTGACTCAAATTTTGGGGAAAATTCCAGCTATTAGCTTTTTCCCTCCGAAGCGCAGGAATGTCAACAGGGTGATGCATGTGGACACCCCAAATTGCAGCCTGGTCAGGTTTCTCAGGAACAAGGCCTGCATCGTTCAGATGGCGAATAAAGTACAGATAATGAGAACGTGATTATTTCAACAGAACTTCAATCTGTCTTCTACCTCTCGTGGCACAAGGCCTCCTCAAGCATTCCAGAGGTCCTGTCAGAGCAATGCAGTCACACTACCTTTTCTCTTTGCACTAATTTCAACTTCCCTAAGGACTGCTGTGGAAATCTTTGCCTTGGCATAATTTTTCATCATAAGAGGAAATTACAAGAAAACTTTACAATCATTCAAATCCAAGAGACTGAACAGAACGAAATAGGCAGACAAACAACACGGTTAATCCATTAGCTAGCTAGTGATCACACCCACAGTGAATTATCTGTGATACAACTTTGTCTTTTGCCGATCAGTCTGCAAACTACATTTCTGTTCTGTGTCCTGAACCCCTGTTCCATACCTTGGCTTTCCACATCAGCCAGAACTTGAAGATATCCACGTGGCGGCCACACTGAATTGCCTTGTCCCCAGTGTCATACGAGACGTCGTACTGCTTGTCTGGCTGGAAGAGGTACCCCGCACACATCTGGTTGCATCCTTGGAGTAGCCCCTACCGTGAGAAGTCAAGAAGACCATATTTGTATTCACATGTAACACAACTGTGACACGGGGCTGGCTGGCAGGAGGAACTAGGGATCACAGACAACCTCGCCTCTGATGGTCCCACCAGACCTTGCACCTGTTCTGATGTCCTTACCTGAATTCATCTTTGGAAAGACCTTGGCCCCATCTTCTGTCACTCTGATTGGACTCATCTTTGATCTCAGGGACCTAACTACAAGCACCCCATGGTTGCTTTCAGTGGCATCTGGGTTATTTCAAAGTCTGGGAAGTGTTGTGGCATCCAATGGGTGGGGGGTTAGAGGTGTAAACTTCCTCAGGGAGTGGCACAGACTCATATGAGCAGAGTAAAGGGCTTGTACAGGTTGTAGTTCCTCCTGACTGGAGACTTCTAGAATGCCCCAGCAGGCAGGTGTATTTGAGTGATGAAACACTGAAGGTCATGATCCCGTAGTTCATTATGTACAGAAGGGAAGAGTGTATCAAAACTTGGTGGCTAACCTTCCTAAGTTGCTATTCACAGCTTTGGTCCTACTTCCGCTTTGGGACCATAAACTGTGCTCAAAGGGTATTCCAGAGAATACTTTCCATCTTCACCCAGGAAGAACTGATTGGATGCTTCAGCCCATCGCTCCCACCCTGGTCTGTGCAAACACGAAGGGATGCTCCGTGCCCACAATTTCCTTTGAGCACCTGCTATCAACTGAATAAGAAGTAAGGATGGTCAGCAGCAAGCATGCAGGGCAGAAGCCAGGATAACCACAAAGGCAGGAAGGGACAATGGGCTGCCATGCTGGGAAGACATGTCCTTCTGCTACCAAGTGTGCAGGCCCCCAGCCACTCCGGGGGAGTACAGACCTTCTCCCTGACGAGAATGGCCGAGCACTGCAACAACACGCCCATCATCTTGTGAGGGTTCCAGGTGACAGAGTTGGCCCTGAAAGAAGCACATGATGCCTTAGGGGAGTAGGCATAGGAACTACAAAAGGCATTCAGTCTCTCAAAAGAAAACACCACCGATGTCAACTCCCTGCTCAGTGTTTTCAATGCCTGTTTTCCACAACAGACAAATCAGGTACAGAACACTTCCAGGCACTCTCAGGCTTCCACACTGCAGACCGTCCCCTCTGAGTCACTGCTCACCCTAACAGCTGATGCTCATGAGGCGCTTAGAATGTGTCCAGTTGTCCTGAGAGCTGCAGGGATCATATCACTGGGGCATTCCAAGCTTTGGAATCAGACTGTACAAATCTGGAGCCTGGTCATGACTTTTGCTAGCTTGGATGAGCTTACATCATTCTGTTGTGCCTCAGTTTTCCTATTTAAAAAGTGGGAATGTCCAGCTCACAGTGCTGAATGAAGGATAAAACAAGTTAATAGAAAATGCAGAAGTGCTCCAGCGTATGTAATTTTCACACCAGCCCCATTATCACTTCCGTTTCAGATGGAGAAACCGATGCACAAAAAGGTGAAATAGGAGGGCCTTTCAAAAAGCTCATGGAAAAATAGAATGAAAAAGTAAATTTATTTGACGCCCCCAAACATGGAAATACACACTCTTTCATAATGCACATTTCCCATGAACTTTCTTTTTTTTTTTTTTTTTTTTTTTAAAGATTTATTTTTATTATTTTTTTCATTGGAAAGGCGGATATACAGAGAGGAGAGACAGAGAGGAAGATCTTCCATCCGATGATTCACTCCCCAAGTGAGCGCAACGGCCGATACTATGCCGGTCCGAAGCCAGGAGCCTCTTCCGGGTCTCCCACACGGGTGCAGGTTCCCAAAGCTTTGGGCCGTCCTCCACTGCTTTCCCAGGCCACAGGCAGGGAGCTGGAAGGGAAGCGGGGCTGCCGGGATTAGAACCAGCGCCCATATGGGATCCCGGGCGTGCAAGGCGAGGACCTTTAACCACTTGCGCCACCGCGCCGGGCCCTCCCATGAACTTTCTGCAGATCCCTCAGGAATGCCCTAAAGCCACAAGAGCTGGGAAGCAGTGAAGCCAAGACACAAGTCCAAGGAGTCTAACTGCAGAGCCAGGGTGCCTAACCACTCCACACGTCGCTGCTGTCTGCCTTCCTGCTCTTATTTAGTGCAATGGGCTGGAAGATGGTGCTGACCTAGCTACTCCTGGGCCAAGATAAAGAGTAACAGCTGAAAGCAAAGGAGTTGGACTGTTCTAGACTATGTCTACCTCGCAGTGTTGTTTACATGCTAAGTGTGCAAGATTTTGCCAGTTTTGGGCTGCAATGATGGTTTAACAAGCATGGTCTCCTAGCAACCACGCCAGTCTGTCAGACACAATTAGCTAGTGAAGGAGCACGCTTGCTAGGACATTACAGAAATGACTAAGTGTAATGTATAATGATCAAAACTTGAGCAGTCGGCTTCAGTGGTTTCAGATTCCTTTTCCAGTGGGGCCTGGCTCGACTACGTGTTCTGACTCCCATAGAGTGCCTTCCCTTGACATGGTAATGTCTCAGAATCAGATGGCCGCAACCCTCTCTGGATTTAGACCCCTGTATGATTTGTAAACTCTCCACCTTGCTTAAGCCCTGTAGAGGGAACACAACTCAATGTGTAAGTGCGCTGTGTGTGGTGCTTTCCCTTACATGCACTATAAAGACCTCTGTGAAAGACAACTGGGGATAGTGCTAAGAAAAGTTAACTTATCTTGTGGACAAGAGGCAGGGTGTATCATATTTAAATGGTAATGAACTTGATCAATTTCTCACTGCTATCATTTGCTGAGTCATCAAAAGGATCCTATTTAGATCTCATCAAATGTCTTAAATAGTCTTCTGAATGCCATGAGGGTTTAAAGCGAATGATTCCTTACTGCTACAAATGGAAAGCAGTAAGACACATCATGGATTGGTTTCCTTTACAACCCATATGACCTTTACAACGTCGGCAAGAAAAAAAAAATCTAACACAAAATGCTTCAAGTTTTCCCAGGCTCAGAGATGAAAAATAAAAATAGCCTGAAAATTCTAAATTGTAGTGGGGCTGGCTCTACATGTCATGTGTGCCATCCTCCAAGGTATAGGGTTGGACAATCATGTTTCAAGGAGCCAGTCTCAGTCTGTGTGAGGAGGCACAGCAAAAGGAACAAAAGCTTCGTCACAAGGTGTCACTGGTGTGCTTCCCTCATACCTGCTCCTATTCACATCTCAGACCCTGGTGGGTTCTCTCACTTCTCCCACTTTGCTCCAGTTGTCAGCAACTCTGTTGGTCCTCCTCTCACCAAGAACCAGCCCTGCCATAAATCTCGTCATTCCCACAGTCTAGCACATTCCTCAGAGAACCTTGACCCTGTCTCTCTCTGAGTATCTGCTGACTGTCATCCCCTAGAAAGGCCTCAGACATGGCATGAAATGACATAAAGTGGGGTGGGCCTTGTGACCTAACAGGCTAAGCTGCGGCTTGGGAGCTGCGCCTCCCATGTCGGACTACCTGAGATTGAGTCCTGTCTCTGTTTCTGATCCAGCTCCATGCTAAGGTGCCTGGGAGGCAGCAGAAAATGGCCCAGCACTTGGGCTGGGACCACCCACATGTGAAGCCAGATGGAGTTCTAGGCTCCTGATTTCGGCCTGGCCACCCCTGCCTTGGCTGTTGCAGGCATTTGGGGAGTGAACAGTGCATGGTTCTCTTTGTCTCTCTGTCGCTCTTTCAAATAAACTGATACAACTTTAGAACTTAGCTTATTTTGTGTTCACCGTTACCTAACCTTGTTTCATTTTTCTTTACAAAGCGACACGTTAGAGACCTACTAGTATTTATGATCTAGGCCCCGTGTAATGTAAGCTTTGGGAGGGCAAACTTCTTCAATGATAATCCTTTCTGTATGCAGCCTAATTTTTCCTGCCTATTTCAGACATGCATTATTTTATTTTAAAAGATCAATTTCTTTTTAAAATTCAGAGTTCTATATAGAAAGGGAGAGAGAGTGAGCGAGAGACCTTCCAATCTGCTCGTTCCCTTTTCAAATGGCTGCAATAGCTGGAGCGGGCTAGGTAGAAGCCAGAAGTTTCTCCCGGATCTTCCACATCCTCTGCTGCTTTTCCAAGGCCATTAGCAGGGAGGTGGACCAGAAGTGGAGCAGCCGGGACTCATCAGGTGCCCATAGGAGATACTGGTGTTACAGGTGGCATCCCAACCCACTGCACCATAGAAATGGCCTCACAAGCATCGTTTTTACAAAAAAAGTCCCACAGATGGTTGAAAGGAAAACAGGTAACTGAACAGTCACATCCATGCTGGCAGACACATTGTGTTCAGTGGTACTCAGTAAAAAGTTCACCAAAAAATGAAAAAAAAAAAAAAACCTACTGTGAAGCATTTCAAAATTTAACAAACTTCTCCTTTTCTGCTTTTTCTGTGAACCTTTGGAAGACCATATATGGAAGGAATCTACATGAGTTCATCATGGGTCAGCACCCAGGAGTGAGGTCAAGATCCTATTTCACTCAGATCACCCACTTGACTCAAATGATGACCAAGACAGAAGTTAAGCAAGCCACTGTCCAGCGGCCCTACCTGAGCCCTTGGCCAACTCTAGTGTAGCCTCCAAGCCACCCTGCTCTGCAGCCTCTCTTCTCTTCCACCTGGGAACCTGCAATCTTTATAGTTCCATGCACCCCACCATGTTGTAACTGCTTGAGTTATTCCCTAGCTAAACTGCCAACTCCTTGAGAAGTTGTTTGGCTGGGAAACAGATCCTATAATAAGTGCTCCTTAACCACCAGCTAAACTGAAATGCACAGAAACAGACTGAAATAAGATGTTGGGGAGCAGAGCAGAGAGGGGTGGCAGCTGTCACAGTGCCCTACGCTTGCTGCCCCAGAGGGAGGAGCAGCGGCCCCTCGCACTGGCCCCTACCTTTCAATGCCGCTGAGTTTGTGGCGGTGCTTCCGCGACATGAGCAGCCCTCCGCCCCAAGCAGCCTGCAAGGACAGAGACAGAGAGGCACAGTGATGCAGTCTTGCTACATGAGAAATAACTCCCAGGCAACAAGCAAGCTTCTCTGACAGAAGGGCGGTTGTGATGCTTCGCCATGGGACATTTCTTTTCGAAAAGTTCCTCCAGGTTGATGTTAGAGTAGCTGCCCAGGGATGCAGGTAAAGTCACGTCTGAGAACAGCACCTGCTCACTGGACCAGCCCCCTAGGATGGCCCTGGAATCTCAGCTAAGGCCCCAGGCTTGCTCACTGATGCCTCTGCTTCCTCAAGCAGCATTCATTCTAACAGTTCCTGAAAAGGGCAGTGAGAAGCAGCTCCTGCCAGGTTTGGAGGTCCCATGACAGCTCCTGCCATGGCAAGATGTGTTTCTGGGTGTCACATAATTCTTGCTCAGCTCCCTGGATCTCTGGATGCCATGGGACACAGCAACAGTTTTTGCTTACTCTGCCCCAGGACAGATGACCGCACCAGTCAGCTCTAAGAACTTCAGTCGCTAAGTGCACAGACAGAGGAAAAACAAAATGTACCCAGTCCCATATGTGAAAATGCTTCCTTTGCATGTTGCTGGGAAAATTCAGGACTAAATTTCTTAGTTGTTAAAGTCTTCCACACACTGCTTGATGTATATCACACGTAGGCAGACCCACAGTCTTAAACAGAAATATCAGGTGGCTAGAGTAAACACCAGTACCCGGATAGGCACACCAATGGCACTTTTTATCTGTTGTATTTCCCACTGCCCTCTCACCCCAGTCTGAAATCAACTACATCTGACTCTAATCATTGGACCCAACAAAGCTACCTGGATAGGACATGGAGACTATAATCTAGGATGAACCACAGAAGAGAGCAACTGGCCAGGAAGGTCAGTACTGGCTCAGCCCCAGAGGATGGTCCAGGTCCACAGGAAGTATCAGAAACAAGTGGTTGGCTGGGGGTCAAAGAAGAGCTGGAACTAACATGGCATGCAAGAGGAGCTGGCTAGGGTGCTAGGAGAGCTGCCCTCCCCAGCACCAAAACAGACTGAGTCGCCTGTGAGCTGTGGCACTTACATCGACATGCAGCCAGAGGTTGTACTTCTCACAAAGATCTGCAATCTCCTGTATTGGGTCAAAAGCTCCATAAACAGTCGTGCCTGCGGTCGCATTGACATAAAGAGGAACATACCCCTGCAAGTTAACAGAAGTGGGAGTGTCAGTCTTTGTCACGTTTCTCCTTTGCATATTTCCACAGGAAACAGAAGGACTGCAGCAGCACTGATTTCCAACAGTGCCCAGCCAAACTGCTGTGGATCAGACACTGTGTTGGTGTTCTCTGTTGTTCCATTCACTCATACATTCATTTAGCCAACAATATATATAGAAATGTATATATTTGAGTGATTTTCAGATGCCAGGCCCTGCTGCAGACATTATGGATACAGAGGCAAGCACAACAAAGAAAGCATCCTATCATGGTGGAATTTACACTCTAGTGGGGAATGAACAGTGAAAGACAACAGCAAGTCTAAATAAGAACTTATAGTATATCTGATAACAGTGATTTCTTGTGGCAGAAGAATAAAGAAGGGAAGGGTCATTGTAAAAGTTTGGAGTGATGGGCAATAGCTCTGGAGATCATCTGAACTTTATTCTTTTTGGGTGCTGGACTGTTCTAAGGGGACTGATATAATAATTATACTGAAGTATTGCTGGCTTATTTAAGATACATCTACATACTACACAAACTAAAACACAGTAGTGGATATAGTGAAATGTTGACATGGTCATGAAATAAATGAGGAAATGGAGTAACAGAACACAGATTGTGGGGAAATCTGCTAGTCTTTTGTTTCTTTTCCAAGGTTGAGCTCCATCTCAGATTCTTGGCTCAAGTCATTGAAACACTTCCATCTACATCACCTGTTGAGACCCCAACAAATAACTACAAACAGAGGAAATGCTACAGGAATGTGACCAGAACAACAGCCTGGTAAACGGCCTGACATCTGCATGGAAGTGACTTGTGAATACATCTGTTCTATGAATTTTTGTTTGTTTGTTTAATGGAATTTGTTGAGGCTGGATCTGCCAAGTAACAGGGGCCATTGGCCAGGATGTAGAAGTACCTAGCCAAATAGAATCCTAAGCTGGAATAGTATTTGTTAAAATAAGCCTATACCTAACTACTGAAAAGCTCAATCAGGGTATAGCTTCATGATGGCCAGATGGTTTTTATTTATTAAAGAAAAATGCCAAACTAATCCTTTGAAACAAAAAAAGCAGGATGTAGCCACAACTCTAAAGTCATTCTGCAGGTTAGAAACAAGTAAATATCTGATAATAAAACTTTACAACACAATAAAATGATCTACATTATCAAGGACTTTCATTGTCTGGGACACAAAGCCAGTATTGTTAAGTATTTGTATTTACTGGACTTTAGATACCATGAAGACTATACCTTTTGCTTGGCTTCAAGAATTTTCGCCTCTAAGTCAGCTGGGATGATCTTCCCCCTGTAATAATTGCAAAAGGACAGAAATTAAGATGAAAAATCAATGAGATTGTGAATGAAAAACTTGAGCAGCAGCAGAAAAAAAAAACAATTTAATCGAATATTTTCAACAGACCATTAGCAGCTTGGCACACTGTACTGAGCCAGTCCTTAAGCACAATAAAACAAATTTAACAGGTGAACACATTTCATATATCAAGAACCTAATATTCATTCTCCTTTGCCTACCTTTCATTGCACTTTATCAAAATCACATTGTCAGTTCCAAAGCCAAGTGCTGCCCCAGCTTTCTTGATGGAATAATGACTCTACAGCAAACAGAGGTTTAATGTTAAAAGTTAGATAGTCCCATCCAAGCACCAGAACAGAGTGTGGGTCAAGCCAGGTTTGGGCGCAACCAAAAACCATTATGGAATGCCAAGGTGAGGTTACCTGTACCAGATGTAACTGCAACACCCAACTAGCACATGTGAGAACCAGGAAGGGAGGAGGCAGAGCTGGCAAGGGGAATATGGAGGTGCTCCCCTGCTGGACGGCTACTCCCACTGCAGAGTGCGAGCTGGGATGGGGGCAGACCAGACTAGGCAAGGCTATAACACCTGTGCGCCACATGTGAGCTAGATCAGGGAAAAGCCAGTCTGGGCTGACTGTTTCTATTGGTGCAAGCATAAATCAGAATGGGTGAGCATTGGTTGGGCTTTGCTGCAGTATAACTGGCAGATGCTGGCACAGGGGGCTAATTCTGTCAAATAAAACTGCAGAATCACCAGGAGAGTGCATGATCCGAGAGTGGGAGTAGCCTAGAAGGGAAATAGTGGGCTCCTTCCTTTTGGGTTACCACCCCCACTGGAGGGCACAAAAACCAGGATGGGGCTGGGGTGGCTAGACAGAAAGGCACTCAACAACATCTGTGTGGGCTGGATAGTCGGACTCGTTGGGTTGAACTAGGTTTCAATGTCCATTGACATGTATGAGAGCCGAACGGGATGTGGGACAGACTGGCCTAGTAGGCAAACCAGGATAGGGGGAGGGCCTGTTGGGGGATATTGTGGGTTGCTCTGACTAGGCTGCAGCTCCCACTGGTTTATGTGAGGGTCGAGTGTGTGCTGGGCAGAACCAGGATGGGCTGCAACACCCATTAGTTCCAGTGGAAGAAAGCACTGGAAACAGAACCGACCCAGCCAGCAATTGCAACCACCAGCTGATTAGGGCAAGGGATTGGGCCGGGCCCTGTACTTGCTAGTACACACAAGAATCTGGTCTGGGAACACATCAGACTAAGTATCTTTGGGGATTCCCCCAGTTGAACTGCCGGACTCAGAACCCTAACCATGAAAAGACAGAGGACAGAACAGGTCAATCAACCACCTCAGCCATATGTTGGCAGTGAAAAACTGGGCAAATGGAGACTCTAAGATGGACCATGTCAATCAGTAGATTCTTCAACGACCTCATCGTGCATAGAATGGCGAGACTGGCAGCAATTCATAACTGTTGAACTATCAAAACCACTTGAGCAAGACCCTTGGAGCATGCCCCACATCAGGGGCCTAGGGTAGGTGGGAGACTTCTCCCTTAAAATCCCCCTTTACCTCAGACACATGAAGCAAACAATGTGGAAATAATAGGCTTACCCACTTTTTTTAAAAGTTAGATAGTCCCTTGGAAAACACCACAAACCATGAGTAAGCACCCTTCAACTCACATGCTCTGAGGTGAAGAGGACCAGTTTGGGCACGGCAGCCATGCCCTTAGTCTTAACTTCCGGGAAGTACTTGTAGCGGGCAGCCATGATGCTGTACAGGTTGGAAATGGCTCCCCCTGTGGGCAAACAGACAGATAGGGAGGTGTAAGGAAGGCTGAGCTGGGGTCTCAAGAGGCAAGAGAGATCAGGAAAGGGAAGGGTATCTGTTAGCTTTTGGTCACTTTCTTATTGCCAGGGCTTCCCTCTGGACTCCTTGCCATGTGACTACACGCAGTAACAGTCATGACCAAAGCTACCTAGGAGGTGGCTTACATACTTTAGTGTCCCCACCTTAAGTCTAAACAGAACTCTATGCAGACACAGCAGCAGCAGCTAGGAAGGGAGAGTGAGTTACAACCCTCCCGAGTCCACTTTCTGCTCAGTTTACTGAATAAAGATGAATCTGTTCCTTAAGGCAGAAAGAGGAGGAGAAAGTAACAGAAGGAAACAGGGACATTGCTGGGCCACCTGCCTGAAAACTCCCTTCAAGGATCAGCCTCACTTAGCTGTGGAGTCATTTAGGAGAGCTCTAAGTTCATTAAAGTAAGAGCAAACTCATGACTGAGTAGGCATGACGAGAACCATCTAAGCACCTGAAACAGACTCGTCACTTTTGCATTAATTACCCAACAATTAAACAGGCAAATATGTACGCTGCCTGAGTAGCCTGGAAAAAATGCAATTCTTTCTTCTCTTCCCCTGTACACCATCGCACTGTCTCTGACACCAGCTACAACTCCCCTCCCTCAAAGAGTACTTTATTTTAAGGAGTCTTATTGCATCTCTTTGAAGAGGAGATTCAAAGTGGAGATGCTATTTGGGTTGAAATCAATCAGTTAATTGATGGTCTTGATTCACTGATCCCAGCGAAATCAAACAGCTGTTGACAGAATGGAGTTGTTCAGAATTAACTAGACATAGCTTTTGGCAGCTTGTACAGATATAGGCTCAGTCTTTGTTACTTCCTATTGAATATAGCATTCTTGTTAGCCTTCATCCTAACAAAGACAGGAAGAGAGGGGATCAAAAATATTTTTTAAGACCATTGTTCTCCTGCAAACCTTTTATTTTATACCTAGAATTCCCAAGAATCCATTCTGTGGACCTTAAGAAGAGCCAATGAAAAAGAAGAGAACCAACCTACCAGGAGAAAATATCCCATCACCATCTTTATTTGACCATCCAACTATTTCTCTCATCTTCTTCAGTGTTATTTGTTCCATGAGGACAAACACTGGTGCAATTTCATAGGTAAACCTGGAATGGTGGTGAGAAAAAGGATGAAAATAAAAGGCAAACCATTTAGTTATGGGAACTCTAATGACTGGCTTGGTATCTGTGCTTAGTTTCAAAAAGAAAGATGTTCAAAAACCACTATAACAATTCAATTCCTGGACATCCTTTAAGTCATCAATCATAAAATGTCAGAAGCCAGGCTGGGTGCCTGTGGATGTGCCTGCTCTGTGATACTTCACCAACCAACCAGATTCTCATCTGAATGGCAGGTCATGGGTGTGATCCATGCAGAGGAAACAAAGGAAAGGAAATCACTTTTCTGGGTCCCTTTTACTATTAAGATTGTAGGATGATGCAAATAATAATGTTAAAATGTATTCTAAACTCTACATATAATTGCTTTGCAACATATTTTTTAAAGCCAACTGCCAATTTCACATTTGTCAAACCTATAAAAGCCAAAGTCTGTCTTTTCAAAAAAAGCCTGAAAGCTAAATATCTGAAGGCCAACTGTGAAAATAATTGGAAATATTGACCCAGGTTTTAAAGACCTCAATATAATTATCTACGTGGTTTTTCCGATAATCCCCAAACACAACTATGCTTTTATGATTTTCTGAGGTCAATCCCTACCAAGAATAATTGTGATGATTTTCTAATTACTAATTACACATAACTAGAAGACAGTCAACTGGCATATTCAGCTAACTGTGGGCACTGGACAACCTGGTGGTTTACATTTGTCTGCAAAGAAACTGATTTAAAAGGAGCAAGTCAGTTAGGCTCTTTGCAAAGCAGTCCCAAGCAGAGGCACAGTTTGGCAAACTAGTAGCTGGAATAAGATCCTGATACCAAACATGCATCCCAAGAAAATTCGAGGCAGGTCTAGCCACTGAAAATAAAGTCAGAAAACAAAAAGATCTTTATTAAGCTCTTGGGATCTTGACCTTTCTTGTTTTTGCTTGACCATCCTAAGGTTTTGTCTCCAGGTTGGGTTCAGTCCATTCTTGCTGAAGAGAGATGCCTAAAAAGACATGACCAAGTGGCAGGCAGCATAGGCTGAATATCCATGTCAAGGAGGAATGGGAATCCTTGCTAGCCTAACGGCTGAGGAAAGCTATTTGCAAAGATGAGATAGCTACTGTACATAAGACATGAGTGAAGCTACTAAGTTTTAATCATGGAGGGGAAAAAAAAAATGGTCACGGTAAATTATATGGCAGTTAAAGAGAACAAAAAGATCCAGGAAGATCTCAGGATAGCTGTGAGTAGAGTGATTTTGCATCCAAAAAGATGACATCCGTTTTCTTGGGAAGGCCCCTGGAAATTAAAGAGGAAGACCCTTGGAAGCCAAGTGTTCAGTTACCATCACCTCTGGAGGTCACAATCATGCTTTGGTCCTGCTCTGAGCCCCATCACCGTAGCAACCAACACTCCCTCATGTCTGATGGCCTGATAAAGGAAGAAGAAGAGAAGGATTCCTGGTTTAGCCCGTGATGCTGAGAGACAAACTCATGATGTGCTTCTAGCCATTCTTGAACAAATGTCTTATTAACAGTTTCAATGATTTTTAGAAATGTCAGAATGGTAAAAATGCTGAATGGCAAAGAGGTGCTGGTAGTGGATGTGTTAGAATTTTATCATACCAAATAAAGTTGTCTGGGGAAGGCAGAGAACACATAGATTCATACAATGTAATTCCATAACTATATTGAAGGACTGGATGAAAGCTGAATTAGAACCAAGTCAGTGGTGGATGGCCACAAGGGAACCACTTACAGAAGGGAGATGGATGGCACCAAACATTCCAAAGTGGCCCATGCTGTATAAACTTAAGCCCATGCTTCATGAGATGAGCAAAATTAGCCTTGCTAGCTAAGGACCAGGAACATGGCCACCACCCTCAGAATTAGGAGGAAAACTGTTCTCCTCTCAGTCAGGTCCTTATCTATGCCAGGGACCCACATCGTTCTTCCAGTTGTGTCCAATGAACACACCTAGTGACTATTTGCTGCAACGTGCTATGACATCCTAGCCTGAAAGCCAGTGGATTGGCCCAAAGAATTATCTCAGCCAGGCCTGCCCATTGGGCTAACATGGTGTTTTCTATTTATGACACTTCTTCTAACACTGCCCTCCCGTCCTGTGCCATGTTTACAACTGCTAGTGGCTGGGGAGGGGGGAGGCAGGGGGGCGGGGAGGGTCTGCCTATACCTAAGGCCTTATAAAAGGTCTTTAAGTTTGTACTAGATCTGTGGGTTCTAACTTAACTGGAGTTCAGACTTGTTTGGGAATCTTAGTAAGGCTACTGTCCCTCTCTCCAGTTAAGAAATGAGGATATATATATAAAATAATAATAATAATAATTTTGTGCATCATTAGAGGAAATTCTCCTCTTGTAGCCTGGACCCTGGGTTATTGATCCCTTCCCCCAGTCACAAATAAAACCGGACAAAGATCAAAAATCAAGTATGAATTCTGAAGGAGCTGGTTAGATACTAAAACCACAGTACAAGATCATCCTGCTGAGTCAGAGAAAAAAAACATTCAATCTGCCAAAAGCTCTGGGATGAAGCATCACACCCTGAGCTTGGAAGTAGGGATTGGAAACAGTAAGATGGTGAGGCTGATGGGATGGCACAAATGAAGATTCTGAGATTTCCTGTCTGCTGAGCAGGGAGGTGAGTCAGGCCTTCTGTGATGGTTCAACTCACCTGCTCAGTGGGGTTTACGGAAAACTAAAGCAAATGAATTATCAAGAAGCTGCGGTTCATGTGTAATAGAATCGGCTGTTCTAATCCTATCAATTTATTTTGCTTCATTACATGCTACTTAGGGTTACAGATCAAAGGCTGCATTTTTTTGGTCTTGTGGGCCATGGCACTAAGTTCTGGCTAAAGAGATGCTATGGGAAATGTGGGTGACTTCTGAGGAAGTTCCCTAACGGTAGGGAGTTACATCTCCCTCCATCCCTGTCCTCTTCTGCCCTTCATTCCCACTACCTCTCATCAGTCTTTGAACACAAAAGTGACATCTAGCGCTCCAGGAGCCAACTAAGACAACAAGGTAATTTTAAAGATGAAAAAAGGGATGACAAAGGTTCAAAGATCCCTAGTGACTGTTAACATTAGGAACATATTTAATGACAGGCCAAAAGGTTTTTCTGTGCTGTCTACCCAGATACTCCTAGACTTCTGTATGTGGCAGATGGCATATCTTCACTTTGAAAGGTAACACATCTGAGGGGTGTTTAGCGAGACCCTCTGTTGTCCAGAGATGACAAGAGGCAGACACCCAAGAACCAGGAGAGTGAAAGGAGGTGTCTCTGGTAGCGGCAGCTGTCTCCTAGCCCACAGAGTACACCTAGCATACAGTAGCACGTAGGACTGGAGCCTGTTGAAGTCTTCAGAACAACTCTGCAGGTCGCGTGGTACCCACTCCCGAAATGTGCCGGAGGAAGAACTGAAGTTCGGAGAAAGTGTGTGATTTGTGTGAAGATCTCACAGTTGGCATGTTTCAGAGTCAGTATGCCAAGTTCTCACATCACCGGTGCTTTTCTAAGACAAATGAGAACTCTTTCTATTGGCTCTTCTCCAACTTCCTGCCTAGCAGTTCAGGATGACTGATAACTCCTATAGCAAATTTCCCTCTTATAATTTCTATGAAAATAACCTCCTATCACATGGCTGTGATGTATCTTGCCATTAGGTGTGTTTGTACCGTCATCAGGTGTCTGAGGCAGTCAGCTGCTTTAACTTGAACACTGCTCAACCTGTGTAATAGTGCCTGGCTGCTTTGCTTTCAAAGAGTAGAAAACGCCATGGGCCACTACACACTTACTGCAAAATTTCCCTTGGCTTTTCACTGTGTCCTTACTTGCAAGAAATATGTGTGTGTTTGGCAGATACATGCACAAGCAGGTAGAAAAGGATGATTGTCTTTCCTGATAATCAGATACCTTACACTATGCCATTTGGATTGTGATTTGGAAGAATTATTTTTAAAAGACTATCCTGAGTGCTACCCAAAGTCAATGAAAAGTGGGTGTTTGGTGTAGCAGTTAGCATATCCACATGCCACATTAGAGTACCTGTGTTTGAATTCCAGCTCTGCTCCTAAATCCAGCTTCCTACTAATGTGTTCCTGGGAGACAGTGGTGACTGCCGGATTGAGTCCTGAGTTCCTGGTTTCTGCCTGGTCCCACCCAGGATGTTGCCAGTGTTTGAGGAATAAACCAGCAAACAGAAAATCTCTATCTGCCTTCCAAATAAAAAATCAGTAAAACAAAAGCACAATGTTTTTAAAGAGATCTATTTTATTTTAAAGGCAGAGCTACAGGTTAGGGGTTGAATCTTCCATCTGCTGGTTTACTCCCCAAATGGCCAAAATAGCCAGGTCTGTATTGACTGAAGCTGGGAGCCAGGAACTTCTTCCAGGTTTCCCATGTGGATGCAGGGGTCCAAGTATGTGGGCCATCTTCTGCTGCTTTCACAGGTGCATTACCAGGCAGCTAGATCAGAAGTGGAGCAGTGGGACTTGAACTTGCGCCAATTTGGGATGTTGGCATTGTAGGCAGTGATTTAATTTGTGGTGCCACATTGCACAAATTGCTCTTTTAAAAAGTTAATAGGAGTGCACATTAAAAAGAGAAAGAAGGAAGGAAGGAAGGAAGGAAGGAAGGAAGGAAGGAAGGAAGGAAGGAAGGCAGGCAGGCAAAGAGAGATCCACATCTGGGTTTCTAAGATAACATCAAGTGGACATCCCTCATCCCCGGGGAACTGATACAGTTTGGCAGCTAGGAATGGTCTCCTCCCCTGCCCACCCTTCCCCACCCCACCCAGCTACGGGAGAAAAAAGAAGAAAAATTGGAAGCATCTGTCCCACCCACGTTCCCCCATGCCTTGACCCCCCCACACTAATCAGTGGTCCTCAGGGGCACACATCCTTATCAACTATGTAAACAACATCAAAAGCAAGATTAATTTTTTTTTTAAAGAAAAGAGGAATAAAGAACAAATCACTAAGTCCTGCTCTTTCAGAGAGGTAGGCTTGTTGACATTTTCCCACACTCGTTTCAACAGCAGTCCAAGCTGAAGCAGGCACTGCAACAGAGCGCACAATTCTCGCAAAGCTGACACCGTGCTGCCACATGCCATGCGTGTCTGGGCAACTGGCTTAGGACAATTTCTAGATAATAGTAATTACTTCTTCCGATAGTGCCTTGTCTCCAGAACTGACAGAAACTGTTTCACCGTTTTAAATAACCTTCTCCATCGATCTGTTGGAATCGGATCATACTTTATAAATAATCTCCTGCTTGGTGCAGCTGCAAGTGCTATATGTCATTTAGTTGAATTGGCCTTGACCTTAGATGGCTAGGACATATTTTAGCATTTTGTGGCTAGACTGATGTAAGAGAGGAGTAAGGGACTTTGATTTTATGAACACAAAGAAAAGGAGAAACTGGAATTTTTCAGCTTGGAGAAAGCCTTTTAGGAGACTGGTCATAAATGGCTCAAAGGGCCGAGCCCCTTGTATTTACTCTTACTGCGAACTTACAACTGAGAAATCTGCAGAACACAATGCTGGGAAACACAGGGGGATTCAGTTACAGGAGTATATACTTGGGCCTTAAGGGACAGGCATGTTTCTTGGTTGTTGCTGAAGGTTTACTTACTTTATTTCAAAGGCAGCTACAGAGAAAGGGAGAGACAGAAAGAGAAAGAAATCTTCCATCTGTTGGTTCATTCTCCAAAATGTCTGCAATGGCCAGGGCTATGCCAGAGCTGTGCCAGGGGCCTAGAATACTGTTTGGGTGTACCACCAGGGTACCATAGGCCCAAGTATTTGGGTCATCCTCCAGCACCTTTCCAGGCACATGAGCAGGGAGTTGGCTCAGTAGTGCAGCAGGGTTGACTCGAACCAGTAATTCTATGGAATTTTGACACCATAAGTAGTGGTTTTAACTCACTGAGCCATAATACTGGCCATGATACGATCTTACATTCTGCCTTTTGACCTGTATTTTCCAAATAGCTGGCTTTAAGAAGACAAACTACTTCTTAATTCCATAGTGTTAGCTACTACAATTAAACATTAGTGCTTTTAAATTACAGTTAGTAGATTATGGTATCTATTTCTGTCTCATAAATCATGATGCAGCAAAGATTATAGATGGGAGGGTCTGATTGGAGGACACCAGAGGAAGGATCCCGCCTTCCTCTGAGCCTTTGGCAGTACCACGTGGACACTGTGAAGTTAACCATGTCTTGTGAGCAGGGAACATGAAAGCCATTTGCATTTTTCAATTTAATCTTTTATGCAGTTCAGCATGAAAGGCTTCGCTTGTCACATTTACTTTTTAGAACGTGTCATAATTGTTTTAAACTAGCAAACAAAGCTGGAACCTTTAGCTAACAGAAACTTTTCTCTGAGTATGGCTAAGGATTTTGGCCATTGCCATCAACACGCATGAATCAATCTATAAGTTTTAAATGGCCTTCAGATTGTGTGGCTGATAATAGTTTAAGAAAAATGGAATAGCTTGAACTTTTGTAACTTTCATTCTCTCTTGATGTCAAATGGAATTTCTTGTCTGAAACAAAACCACCCTTCATGTAAATTCATTTTTCAGAATCTACCATGAGTTTCTGAAGTAGCTAACTAGTTTCTCCACATTTCCATAGTGAGTAAGCCTCATGTAATTCTTAGGTAGCTATTATTAAATTTCATGATTTGCACTTGGATATTTTAACCTACTGTGATGCCATGGTCTGGGTGTTGACAGAGCAGAGACAGTGTTCACTAGGCTGTGATGAGCGCTCACCAACTTGCAACCTTAGCCTCCACACAGGCCACATGCACACAGAGGAACTTCAAGGTGACTGCATGAAAACTACCCAGCTGGTGTTTGCCCTCTGGGGAACTTAGAATCAGTTTCATAGAAACTTACAAAGAAATGAATGAAGACTTTATTGACAAGCAACTACGGTGGAAATGTCAAAATCAGAAAAACAATTGGCAATTTTAAAAGGAATATACAATATTACAGTACTGGCTGAATTTTTGGTTGTGAATTTTAGTGGAACCAGAGGTTTGTCACTTTAAGGAAGCTTTAATTAGGGAAGAAATGTGACCTCAATCGGAAGGACCACGTGCTTGAATGGGAAAAGGAAACTGAGATCAGACCAGAGAACTTGCCTTCCTTTGAAAAACTTTCAAGAGAGCTGGAGCTTTTGAACCTCAAATTTCACATTATAATTTGAAAGTCATAGTTATTGCTTCTCTCAAACATTTTTCTTAGTTTGCATTATTTAATTTAAAAATAGTTGATACTGTACCTACTGTTAAACCAAAATGGTGATAAGCCTACAGGATTTAAAGAGAAAAGATGACTAGGCAACTTTAACAAAGCAGAACCATTGGAACTGGACTTTGAAAGTGATAAACCGCAGTCACACATCCGATTGTGTATATGGAAAGAATATGTGGGACTTACATATTGGTGTTGGCAGTTGACGTCAGCCATTCGCCAGCTAAGCCAATGATGTCCAATCCAGTGGACAGCTGGTTGAAAAACCGAGGATGACCTAGAGAGGAGAGCAACAGGAGCATCAAGCTAAGCCATTGTCAACATCAAGGGCCTCTCCCACTGTGCAACATGGACTGAGTCTCTATCCCAGTAGTCTAATGAAGCTACTCGAGGGTTCTGGAGGAGTGCAAGGTTGAATGATAACCTCTTGGATTTCTATGTTTCTAAAGCACCATGCATTAAAATTAAAAAAAAAATCCAAGATCATGAAACTAATGATGCTTTTCAACATTTCATTACTGATTTCTGGACAAATTCCTATTCCACATATTTTTTTCAGGAAAAGAGGATAAAGTTGTTCCTGATTTTTCCTCATTTATAAATCTGAAAGCTTTTCATCTTCTGATCAAGGTTTGCTAACAGAGAAGAGGCTGTGGGACTCCCAGCTCTGTGGACCAAGCCAGGCTTGGAGAAATGGCTGCCTCTGATGTTGATGCTGCCAGCATTCCATCACTCCATGGGACTCCGTGATAAATAGGACATCAAGCATGGTGTGCTTTGCCCAGATAGACAGGTGGCTATTCAACTACACTTATTGCTGAGACCACCTAGCATGCGAAATGGGCAGAAACATTTGCTCCTTGAGTTGCTGCTGGTGAAATAACTGTTATGGCTTCATAATCCTAACGTCTTGTATAACCCACAGTCAGCTTTAACAGGCTTTGTGCTTAGCGAATTCAGCGTTGTTTGCCAAGTTGGCATTCACCAGAACACTTAACTCCCATCAGCAGTCTTGGCTCAGTCGTCATGGAGGAATCGACACAACAGATTACTAGGGGTGTGTGACAGAGAACTGGTACTAGAAAGATGTGCTGATGCCTCGGTTTCCAGTGGAAATTGCCTCTGCCTCTGAAATAACCATCAGAGAGCTGGCGTGGGAATATTCCTGCTCTTAATCCCCTCTAAGGGTGCCTGTCTTCCGCAGACGCAAGGGAGATTCCCTCAGAACATCTGCACTATGAATGCATCTCTCCGAAGAGACCAACTTCTGCATTACAGGAGTCCAACCCCTAACAATCACCAGTGTAAGTATGAGGAGGCTAGATTCCAGACGGCCTGAGGACTATTCCAACTGGCTTCAACCATGCTATTCTCCGCTGGCTTGCTCAGTGCCAACAGAACACACCATATCTCCTGCAACATAGCAAAGTTTACTGAGCTTCACTGAAATGTTTCTGCAATGGCTACTTGAAACCTTTTTAACAAATACTTCTAAGAAAAGACTAAATCATAAATAAATGCGATCATGCTCACTGATAATGTATCAGAACAACTGGACACAGCAGAGCCAAATATCCACAGAGAATGACACAAGGGGGACAGTATCGCTTTGCCCATTAAAACACACAGGATCCGATGTCCCCTGCCTCCAGTCCCTTCACTTTTAGCTTATGGCTACCACCGTATACTTCCCCTCCCCCAAAAAGTCTTATTGCAGAATTTCTATCAAGTAATGAAGTAACCTAGTTTTAATTTCAATTTCAATTCACTATATACAATGAAAACAACAGATGACAGCCATGGTATTGAGCAGTATAGCACCTAAAGTCAAACAGGGGGAAGAAAGAAGTCATTTTTTAAAAGCTTAATAACAGGGCCTGGCATAGTAGCCTACTGGCTAAAGTTCTCACCTTGCACACACTGGGATCCCATGTGAGTGCTGATTCTTCTTTTTTAAAAAAAAATATTTATTTTTTTTAATTGGAAAGTCAGATATACAAAGTGGAGGAGAGACAGAAAGGAAGATCTTCTGTCCGATGGTTTACTCCCCAAGCAGCCCCAAGGGCTGGAGCTGCACTGATCCGAAGCCAGGAGCCAGGAGCTTCTTCTGGGTCTCCCATGCGGGTGCAGAAACCAGTGACTATATGGGATCCCGGTATGTGCAAGGCGAGGACTTAAACCACTATGCTATCATGCCAAGGTCGAATGCTGGTTCTAATCCCAGTATCCCCACTGCCCATCCAGCTCCCTGCTTGTGGCCTAGGAAAGCAGTCAAGGATGATCCAAAGTCTTGGGACCCTGCACCTGTGTGGGAGATCCAGAAGAAGCTCCTGGCTCATGGCTTCAGATTGGCTCAGCTCCAGTTGTTGCAATCACTTAGGGAGTGAATTATTGGATGGAAGATCTTCCACTCTATCTTTCCTCCTCTCTATATCCAACTTTCCAATAAATATAAAATCTTTTTTTAAAAAGTTTTTCAACAAATAAATTCTAAGGGGGAAAAAGGAGTAGAGGGAAAAACCAACCCCTAGGAGACACACCAACCAACTGCAATGTGAAGAGCTTACTCAGATTTTTCACTCAAAAGAATTATACAAATATTTATGATACTCATGAGACAGCTGGAAATTTGGACACTGACTATTTCTTTAAGGACCTATAAATTCTGTGGGCTTTCTTCAGGTGCAACAAGGACACTCTGTATCTTTTGAAGAAGGTTATAAGGGTGAGGAATGTTGGTGGATGCAATGATATTAGGTTGTGGATTCGCTTCTAGATAATACAGGAGAGAAGGAAGTAGATGGAGGTACAAGTGGCATAAAATTTCCTGGAACTGATCAAAATCTGGTGTTGGCTATATAGGGTTCATTGTATTATTCTGCTGTTGTAGAAGTTTAAAACTGGATGGGGGCTGGCACCATGTGTGTATCAGGTTAAGCCTCCATTTGCCGTGCTAGCATCCCATATGGGTGCTGGTTCATGTCCCAGCTGCTCCACTTCTGATCCAGCTCCCTGTTAATGTGCCTGGGAAAGTAGTAGAGGATGGTTCAAGCGCTTGGGCTCCCGCACATATGTGTGAGTGCAGAAACACGCTCCAGGCTCCTGGCTTTGAACTGGTCCAGCTCTGGCAGTTGCAGCCACTTACGAAGTGCACCAGCAGATGGAAGATCTGCATGTATGATGTGGGTGCAAGCGTGTGTGAGTGCACGTGTATGTGTGGCTGTCCCCCCATATCTCTCTGTAAATATTTTCAAAAATGAAGAAAAAATATGTTTTTCTAAAAATCCAAGAAGCTTAAAATTTGCCAAGATATAGACAGGCTTTCAGCCAAGTCCTTAAGATGCCCATGTCCAACAGCAGCGCGCCTAAGTTCACTCCCTGTACTCAGTTCCTGACTCCTCCTGCCTGCCAGTACAGGCTCTGGGAGACAGCGGTGATGGTTCCAGGAACTGGATGGCTATCTCAGGCCCCTGGCTCTGCCTCCTAGTCAAATCCCAGTGGTTGCTGGCATTTGGTGAGTAACCCAGTGCATGAAAATGCACACTCTCCAACTGTTTACTTCTCAAACAAATAGATATAACTCAAGACAATTTTTTTTCTGCAGTAAAAAGTTAAAGAAGGAATAATTATGGAAATGTGATATACCTTGAAATCACCTAAGTAGCTGCTGTGACTGACTTTTATGCCTGTGTCAGTTCATGAAAGACTTAGGGATGCTGGTTCTTTCTCTCAAAAAGTCTGCTGCTGGGCCTGGCACGGTAACCTAGTGGCCCAAGTCCTTGCCTTGCACAAGCTGGGATCCCATATGGGTGAAGGTTCTAATCCCAGCAGCCCCGCTTCCCATCCAGCTCCCTGCCTGTGGCCTGGGAAAGCAGTCGAGGATGGCCCAAAGCTTTGGGACCCTGCACCTGCATGGGAGACCTGGAGGAAGTTCCTGGCTCCTGGCTCCAGATCAACACAGCACCGGCTGTTGGGCTCACTTGGGGAGTGAATCAATGGACAGAAGATCTTCCTCTCTGTCTCTCCTCCTCTCTTGATATCTGACTTTGCAATAAAAACAAATAAATCTTAAAAAAAAAAAAAAAAAACAAGTCTGCTGGGGAATTAGGAAAGACATTTGCAAACTACCTGCCCACAGATGATTAATATCCCACATATATTACTTCAGCACAGTAGCCTAGTGGCTAAAATACTTGCCTTGCATCCACTGGGATCCCATGTGAGAACTGGTTTGTGTCCTGACTTCCTTTCCAGCTCCTTAATTGTGGCCTGGGAAAGCAATAAAGCATGGCCCAAAGCTTTGGGACCCTGCACCCGCGTGGGAGACCCGCAAGAAGCTCCTGGCTCTTGGCTTCAGATCTGCTCAGCCATTGCGGTCACTTGGGGACTGAAGCAGCTGATGGAAGGTCTTTGTTTCTCCTTCTCTCTATAATTTTGACTTTCCAATAAAACCAAATAAATCTTAAAAAAAAATCTTCAACAACCTTTGGCCAATTGAGAAATGAGCAAAGTACTTCAACGGATAGTCCTCAAAGAAGAAGTACAAATGGCCAACAAACATGAAAAAATGCTCAGCATCACTAGCCATTAGAGAAAAACACAAATCAAAAACTACAGGGAGATCTCACCACACACTTGTCAGAATGGCTAACATCCAAAACATAGTGTGTACAAATGCTGGAGAAAGAGGAAAACTTACATACTACTAGTGCAGCCACTGTGGAAAACAGTGTGGGGCTTCCTTACAATACTAGAGATGGACCTGCCATATGATCCAGCAATCCCAGACTGGGTACAAAGCCCAAAAAATGAACACATCGTGTCCAAGAGACACCTGCATCACCAGCACTTCTCACAACAGCCAACATTTGGAATCAAGCAAGGTGCTCACCATTAGATGAATGAGGAAAGTGCGTTGTACATATACACAATGGAGTATTATCCAGCTGTAAAAAGAATGAAATTCTACCATTTGCAGCCAAATGAACACAACCGGAGGGCATCATGTTGAGTGAAAGAAGCCAGGCCCAAAGAAACAAACACCACATGGTCTCTCTTTTATGTGGAAGCCAAATTTTTAAAGCAAACAAACAAAAAAGAAATGTCTGTATGTATCAGTATTGCTGAAAATACAGTTCTGTAAAATTTTGCTTTATACCTTTGCTAAACCAATGGTTAAGAAGGTTTATACTGGGCCCTGTGGTGTGGCCTAGTGGCTAAAAGTCCTCACCTTGAACACACCCCAGGATCCCATATGAGTGCTGGTTCTAATCCCAGTGGCCCTGCTTCCCATCCAGCTCCCTGCCTGTGGTCTGGGAAAGCAGTTGAGGACGGCCCAATGCTTTGGGACCCTGCACCCATGTGGGAGACCTGGAGGAAGTTCCTGGCTCCTGGCTCCAGATCAACACAGCACCGGCTGTTGGGCTCACTTGGGGAGTGAATCATCAGATGGAAGATCTTCCTCTCTGTCTCTCCTCCTCTCTTGAAATCTGACTTTGTAATAAAAATAAATAAATCTTTAAAAAAAAAAAAAGAATGTTTATACTACTACAGTTTAATGATCTGTGATTACTTTCAAATTTATTGTCTATGGGTAAGATGGTCATTCTCCCACTCAATTACTGTTCCTACCTGTTAGCTGTACTCCATTTATTCCAATTAAACTAGTCTCTTTTTGCTCTTGTTCAACTTCTTATTTGGTGAAATATTAAACCTTTTTACTGCTATGGAGATTTAAAAGATGTTATTTCAAACACTAAAACAAAAAAAGAAGATAAAGAAATGGCGGAGAAAGGCCAAAGGGACCAAGGAAGAAGGGAATATCATTATGCTTAGAATTTTATCTACAAATTTCACACTGAATCTTGAAAAACCTAAAAAAAAATTTTTTTAATTAAAAATTATCACTTCATGTGAAAAAAAAAAATCTGTTCTGACACTGCAATTTAAGCCTCTAATGGAAAATTGGCAAAGTTCCTGGTTCAAGTCCAGGCTACTCTGTTTCCAGTTCAGCTTTGTGTTAATACGCCTGGAGAGCAACAGAAGATGGTGCAAGTACTTAGGTTCCTGACACCATGAGGAAGACTAACTTGGAGTTCCCGGCTCCTGGCTTTGCCTTGCCCCAACCCCCTGCTTTAGGCACTTGAGGAATGAACCAGCAGGTGTAAACATTGTGCCTCTTTCACTCTGTCACTCTGTCTTTCAAATAAATACATCTTAGAATATCCAAATGCCATCTTTATCCTTTCACATGGTTTAATCGGACGCGGTGATTTTCACCATTAAAATTCAACCAAGTCAACCCATTATTCAGATTGAACATTAATGCATTAATGTTTTTAACAATATTTTCCATGTGTGGAGCTCCCTGCAGGCGTTTGCCCTGTTGCTTCCCTATCTATTTTTGATCACAGACCAGCAACCAGGAGCTGTGGCAGCACCAGTCTACTTTTGCAGGGCCAACATTCCTAGATGCAGCAGCACAGGCCTCGGTGCTCGGACAGCGATGAACTCTGTGCATGCAAGCATCTGCTCTCAGCAACAGAACCAACAGCAGGAACGCATGGCTGCAGGCTGAATCCCCAGTGGCTTCACACTGCAGCCTCCTGAGAGTACAGACTGCTCCTGGCCAGAAAAGCCTTATTCTTTATACTTGATCTGAGATGTTACACAAATAAAATCCTGTTTCTCCCTGAGGCACGACACTCTTCAGGGCTGAAGGATAAACATAGGAGGGTCTACAAAACAGTTATAAAAAACAGTGTTGGGCCCGGCGCTGTGGCCTAGCAGCTAAAGTTCTCGCCTTGAACGCCCTGGGATCCCATATGGGCACTGGCAGCTAATCCCGGCAGCTCCACTTCCCATCCAGCTCCCTGCTTGTGGCCTGGGAAAGCAGTCTAGGATGGCCCAAAGCTTTGGGATCCTGCACCCACGTGGGAGACCCAGAAGAGGTTCCTGGTTCCCGGCTTCGGACCAGCATAGCATCGGCCCGTTGCACGCACTTGAGGAGTGAATCATTGGACGGAAGATCTTTCTCTGTCTCTCCTCCTCTATGTATATCTGACTTTCCAATAAATAAATAAATCTTTTTTTTAAAAAAAGTGTTGTATGCTAATTGCATTTCCCATGATTTTTTAAAACTTTTATTTTTCTCTCTATGTAAGAAAGAGAGAGAGAGACAGAAAGAGTGAGAGAGAAGGTGATCTTGTCTACTGGTTCATTCCCCAAATGTCTGCAACTTGCCAGGCTAACGCCGGGAACTAGGGCCTCAATCTGGGTCTCCCATGTGGGTGACTGATCCGTCATGGAGTCAGCACCTGCTTCCTCACATTGGCGGGAAAACAGAGTGGAGTTTCAACTTGAACTCTGGGACTCTGATACGGGGTGAGGCAGTCCCAAGAGACGCTTTGATCACTTGCAGTAAATGTACTCCCCTCCAAGAACTCTTTGCAATAGCCTTGTGCATGGTCCTAGCCTTTCTCAGATAGTATGTACAGAGCGGAGTGGGGAAACAAAACACCCTGGCCCAAAGCAACTCAAACTAGAACAAATCTCAAGGACTTCTGATTCTTTTCTAATCCAGCCAAACAATCCAACTAGGTCTCCATCAGCAACAGGTTAGCTGTCAGACGGAGAACAAGATAGAACTAAACCAAACAGGAGTGATTTTTCACTAAAAATCAGAGTGTGTCACTGCAACTGAATCTTGCCCATTGAGCAGTTACTTAATGAACTCTATTCCCATGGTATGGACAGACTTCAAATGCTATTTGGGACTCCTTATATTAAAAAAAAACTTCTCTGGCTAGCCCCATTTATCCCATTATGATGCTTCAGTTTTGACATCAAATAGCCTTACGGCTCCATGTCCATCAGCCTCTCCAGTCTTTGTGTGAGACCGATCTCACGTGACTATGAGTGGGAGGGAATGAAGGCAAAGAAGAGAGAAGGAAGGAAAAAGCGCAAGGGGCGCCAGCTGTGGCCTCAGGAACCCCCTTCCTGGTAATGCCTGCAGACTGCTGACCCAAGAGTTAGAGGGAAAAAACATTGCCTCACTCTTGGTCTTCAACAGATCCCCAATGTCCTTGAACTTGAAGCAACCAGAAAGTGCTTGTGCCAGGACTGCTGGTTAAAGAGGATTTGTGCATGATGAAGAGGAGGCAACAGGACATCCTCAAGGACTCACTGTTGGAAACAGGATTCAGTGACTCAGTGTCTACACCTCAGAGGTTGCAACAGAATGCAAAGTGTGTGTGTGTGTGTGTGTGTGTGTGTGCATGTGTGCGTGTGTGTGTGTGAGACTTTCTGGCCTAGCCAGCAGGTGCGGGGTTGGAACTGTGTCCTTCAGAAAGCTGAACGTAATCTTATTTGGACATGGGGTGCTTGCAGACATGACTAAGTTGAAAGGCAGTCATGCTGGATCCGGGGAGCTCTAAACCAGACTAGTGTGCTAGTGAATGGGAGGGAAATTGGGACACATGCCAAGGAGAAGGTTAAAGGCAAAGGTGAAGGCAGAGATGGGAGCGAAGCATCTACAAGTCCAGGGGTGCCTACAACCACCAGAGGCTGGAAAATCACTGCAGCAGATTGACGAGAGCCGGCAGAGAGCAGGGCCTTGCCCACACCTCGGCTCAGAACTCATAGACACCCGAACAGCATCTACCGTTTCAAGCCACCCTTGAAATTTGGTGTCTGGTGATTTCTCATGGCAGCTCCAGGAAACAAATGCAGAAAGGGAGGGAAGTGAGAGGTTCCTTGTCCTGCCCCACACTCTTCACCCTCGCATCAACACAGGGAAGAGTAAGATTTACTCAGAATGAAACAGACATGAAAAGAGGTAGGGGTGCTCTGCTCTCCCTACACTTTAAACAGTTTGCAGCCAAGAGGAAAAACTCTTTGTCACAGCACTTGACTTATCGGCACGCACCCACATGTTGTAAATCTACTTTCACAATATGCATTGATGAGGTTTTGCCAGGTGGGGACCTTCCACAGTGTTACTGCCCAGGGCTGTCCCCCTCCCCTGCCCCACTCCTGGGGCCCCTGAGAATGTGCCTGCCTTATCTCACCACGACTACAGGGACACTGGGACCCAGCTGTCCTGGCAAGGGCAAGCGGCCGGTGGCCGTGGCCAGTCCCACCCGCCTCTCAGCCTTACCTGTGCGAACGCCATACTTGAGGGTGTCTCGGCAGTCCACCAGGATCTGCTCCAGGGACTCGGGATGGTCGGAGAGCTCCAAGTTGAAGCCCTCCATGCCTTCCAGCAACTGGTGTGGGTGATGGAAGTCCAGCACCTTGGTGGAACGATCAAACGTCTTGCGCACATAGTTGAGGAGGATGTCCACCACCTCCAGCAGGAACTGAACAGTTTGCTCCTCCCCGTTCTTAGCCGGAAGCAGGTCTGGGGGAGGGAGAAGACAGGTGCAGGGAATCAATGAGTAGCTATCGTCCGACTCCCCAACCCAGCCTGATTTCTAGTAGCAGCTGTGGTAATGTTGACACGCTGGATTTCATTCTAGCATTGATACGGGCACCAATAGAGGAATCTCATATGAGTGCCCCCCACCCCCAGGCAACGGAGGCTTGGAGTGGACCTGCCCATTGCTCGTCTTCATTTGCAGGCAGAGGGAACCCCAGGAAGGCATGAGACAGAGGGAAATTCTGTCATGCTGCCTAGAGACCAGGTGTACACAGGACCTTTGCATTGGTGTCATGCTGTGCTCAATCTGAGACATTCCTGGATAGAGGCTGAGTTGTCCCCTGAAGAGGGTAATCCTTTTGTGGGTGTCCCTGGCCGGAGACTAGAACTGGAAGGGGGACTCCAGAAAGTGGGGGAGGGACTCCTGGCCCTCTCTTGACCTCATGCTTTTGGGCCTGGACATTGACATGAGCGGAGGTGACTTTGGGTTGTAGGTTCTGTTGGACACAGGCAGGGTGGGTGGGAGGGTTAGGCCGGGAGCAGAGGTAAGGGTTGCCGCTGAGGTTGTCATTCAGAGTCAAGAGCAGACTGATGCTCTGTGCTGGTTCCCTGGGGTTTTAGCAATGCCTTGCTGAATGTTCTGGTCTGGGCCCAGGAGCATCGTAAGGGATATATGGAAGGGTAGTGGCAGGTCCACCCCTGAGGTGATGCAGCCCCTCCTGAGACTAGTGCTGTGAGGGACACTGGAATGAGAGAAGCAAGGGGTGGGGGCCTGGGAGGGAAGGGGAATGGAGGAGGAAGGCAGACACAGGCAATCTCCAGAATGCAAAGCTGCTTAGAAGCCCCAGCCATACAGCTTCCTAGGGCATCACTGTGACTCTTCCGTCCAGGCCTGGGGACAAGTGTGTTAGGTAAGCGGTCACTAGATTTTGTCGCAGGTGAAGTGGCTCTGGGGTCTGAGGTCTGGTGGCTCTGCATGGTCCAGGTAAGAGTCTTTCCTTAGCTGTTACTGGCTGCCCCTCCCTCTCCAAGCTTTCCAAACCAAAACGGACCCAACCCGGAGGGAGGAGAGGGAGGCTGGGAAGTGCAGTGTGGTGGTAAAGCTTCAGGGAATGACATTTCTTCAGTCAAAGCACTGTGATTTGGGGAGGGGTGATGAAGGGCGCGGTGAGGCACATAGCTGTGCCCGGAGCTGGCATCCAGGGCTAGGCATGGAGGAGGGCTACCTCGGGCGAACAGGTTGGAGAAGTCGGTCTCCGTGCGCCGGAAGCGGGAGTCGCGCTCACTGTTCTCGCACGAAAGCAGGTTCTTAGAGGACTGCCTCTCCCTGAAGGCGCTCACGAGGCGGCTCTTCTCTTCCAGACTGTTGGTCCTTTGCAAGAAGCCTAAGGCACGAGAGAGGTCGGGTCAGAGAGGGCGCTCCCCACCACCCCAGGCGCGGCCGCGTGCCACCGAGGCTCTGCGCTCGGCCGGGCAGGCAGGGCGCTCCGCGATTGATGGAGAGTGACTCTGGCACTGCTGGCCCGCAGGCACAGGGGCGCGCCAAGTGTCGTCAGCGGTACCGGCCCAGTCATGCGCGAGGGGGCACACCGTAAGCAAAGCCAGCCCTCTTCTATGGGCGTGGCCGGGAGCTCAGACCTCAGTCCACAAGGCCACAGCTGGGCCAGCTCAGAAGCGGCTTTGCAGGGACGGGGGTCCAGGGTGGCTGAGCGACCAGAGGGAGGAGTGGGAATGAGAGGGGGAAGGACAGAAGAGGGAGGAGGGAGGAGAGAGGAGGGGCAGGGTCCAACAAATGGGGATTAGGAAAGGATGCTTTCCTCCTGCAGTATCTAAGGTTCACAATGTGACATATAACTTTTTGGATGCAAAGTTGAGAGGCAGCTTTCTGGTACTACTCCCTGTTCTTGAATAACGGAACTGGGGGAAGACTAGAGAGCTTCAAAACCTCTATGTGTGGCCCGGGGTCTGTAAGTGCCCTCGCTAACGCCTGTTGCTTAGCAGCACTCCCGCTGTGGAGTTAGAGAGGCAGGCGCCTCTCCTCCAGGGGCATACAGCCTGGCAGGTGGTGGCTAAAACTGTCCTAAAGGGAGAAAGACATCCAAGAACCACGCCTACCCTCTTGCCCCAGATGAATCTGGAGCCCAGAGTCAGGGGTCACAACACCTGACTTGGACTCTCAGAGGGAGCAAACATCTCTCTCTCCAGGGTTGAACAGCTGGGATGCCATCACCAATAGCTAACAGGTCAGCGGGGCTGGGCCCACCGATGTAGGAAGCGTGACAAGCCCTTGTCCCTTGTCTACAGGCTTGTGTGGAGGCCTGGGTCTGCAAATCCACTCTCGCTCAGCATCTTCTCCCGGGGTGCCTGGGCAGCAGGACCCAGCTCTAACCTGCTCAGGGACCCCTGCCCTGTCTCAAGCTGTCTCTATCGATATCCAGGTCTTCGTGGAGTCACACACCTCACAAAGCAGGCTTGGAAGTCAAGTCTCAGGAGGGGCAGGGGATGGCATGTGAATCTGGGCTGGTCCAGCTTTATTTCCTTCAGCCTGCAGCTCAGCGTGGCAGGCTGGCGACATCAGACTCAGGGGGCAGCCCGAGGTGATGAGATTCCTCCCCAACAAGGGAGCTAGCCTCGGTTTTTGGCATTTGGCATAGGAAGGCAGAGGCACCCAAGGGTGCCGGGAGTAGGAGGAATATATACCCTTATAGATGGGGATTGTATCCTCTTTTCCTTCCCCTCTTTCACTGTCAGGATTTCTCCTCCCACTTCCAAGTTCAGAGTCAGGGCCACCTGGCTCTCGAATGGAACTCCTCCCCTCTCCCGGATCAGGGAGGGTGGAACTGGCCAAGCCGGAAAGGCCAAACTCAGGTGGCCTTAATGGGGGGAGGGTTCTGCCACCCAGACCCCTCCTCTGAATTCTCAGGTCTCTGGGCTTCTGGTTCACGACCCTAGGAAAGCCTGCAGCCCCCTCCCATCTTGTGACCTCTTTAGGGACCCCCTTTCCTCCAGGCAGCTGTGAGGAGTTGGAACCTGGTTCAGGCCTTGGACAATGTTGACACAGATGCCCCCAGAGCCACCCTGATGGGGCTGGGAAATGATAGCCATACTTCCTGTGGCGTGCTAGGAATCAGCCTTTTCTGAAAATCCTGTACTTAGGAGTATCATACTGATTTCACTGCATTCTACTGTGTTTTAAAAGTCACCCATTTGCCGGTAGGCATGTTTATTGTACCCTGCCACTTCTTTTACTTTGCGTAGGAAGCGTATTGTTCTCCACACTATCCCGATTCTCATACAGGCCACTCTCTTCCGAGAGAGAACTTACAAGGAACTTCCTGCCTCTCCAAACAGGAGGAGGTGGCGCCTGTCACTGCGGTTCTGACACCCTCCTTGGCGAGCCGGGGAGGGGTCTCGGATGTGGGGACTGAGGCAGACTCTTGCTGTGCACCTTGGCTGTGTGGACCTGCTGTGAGCGTGTACAGAGCCCTGGACTGAGGCAAGGCCAGGCAGTAGCATCCTGGTCAGCCCCAAGCGGAGCCTAGGAGGCACAGCCGGTCACACTAGATGGTGCTCCCTGTCAGGACTCCCATCGGTGCAGTCATCTGGGGGAAGCTCCTGTCCTGGGGCCCTCACACCTGCACTCCCAAACTCACAAGGTGGGGGGAGTCCAGGGGAGTGTACCCAGCTCCAAACGGGAGTTTTCCAGCTACACACATGGGGCCAAAGCCCAGGCTCAGATGCATGGAATTGCAGCTACACAGATGAGCTGGCTGTGTGTGTATCATTGGCTGATGGCATCCTTTAGAATTCTCCATTTACTTTCTTTTCCCCAGAAAAACTAGACATACAGAAGGCTTGAGGTCTTGCTATCTTGAAGAGTGGACAAATGATACAAAATTAAACACACGCTAATTACAATGGTTCTGGGGTTGTGACCAGCAGCCCGTGTGGGACCTCTGCATAGATAAGCCATGAAAGCCTCCAGAACCCAGGGCCCTGGGCCAGAGCTGGGGATCCCTTCCACTCTAGGTGGGTCATGCTGCCATGCCTGCAAGGCACGCTCCACATTTGGGCAAGCCCCTGGCTTTCTCCTAGCTGATGACTTTCCCATGGGTCTTCTGCCTTCAGGGTTAAGGGTATCCCTGGGGGCACATGAACCTTCCTCGCAACTTCATTCCCTGGCTTTTGGAAAAGAGAGGGTAAGAGGAGGGGGACGGCAAGGCGGCGGGGGGGGGGGGTTGGCAAGGCCTCCAGGATCCTCTGGGGGTGCACCAGGGCGGTGGCTTTGGAAACAGAAAGAGGATGATGTGTCTCATGGCTGTGGAGGCAACGGAATGGGTCTGGGGGTCCTAGGCCACATCCAGGGAACTGCTCTCTGCCTCATCTGGGAAAGCTAGAGTTGGCCCCCAAGTGTGGATGGTAATCTCCGGGGAAGCCAGCTCAGTGCAGACCCGCAACAAAATGGGAGAAGTTTGCTTTGACAGACACAGTTCTAATTTTCCTGACGTTGGGAAGTGAGGGAGGTGAGGGATCCCATTTCACAAGGATGGTAACTCCCAACTGTCTCAGCTGGCTCCTCCCGGTGAACAGGTGGGCAGAGGGTGTGGCGAAGCCTATTCCTGACCCTATCAACCTCAGTTCTCTCCTGTCCCCATCCCCTTCCTGGCTGGGACAGGTCTCCAGAAGGGGCGCCTTCCCTCTTCACTGACCTGGAGGGCCCTGTCCAGTTCTCGGCAGCCGTCAGCCGCGGCAAACGCCCGGGGCTCACTCAGTTCTGCTTGCCCGATTGCATGACAATGACGGCTGCAGAAGCCGGCCCGAGGAGAGGACCTGGCGCGGAACGGGCCATTAAACCCAGAATGGCGGCGGGGTGGGGGAGGGATGGGCGGCTATTTATAGAACAAAGCTGGGTGGCAGCAGACTGCCCTGGTCAAGGACCCAAGACTGGCCTTGGCCTTTCCTCCTGGGCCTCAGGCCTCGCGTGCCGGGGGCACGAGCTGTAGCCCCGGGTTGCTCCGACTTTCCCAGGGAAAGGGTTAGGGTGGGGAGCCGGGCACTGCCCTTCCTACCCATTAATGCCCGAGAGAGGGAGGGCAGGGGGGCCAGGGAGGCCGAGCAAGGAGCTTGTTTAAGGGGTCAGGGGATGCACCCCCAAGCAACTGAATAACTCCTGTTTCCTAGGACTCCCCACCCCTCCCGTGCAAACCCGCACCCACGCAGCTGCCCACCGACCCCCGGGCGCTATCTGCGCTGTGCAGCCGCTGACGGAAGGCTCTGTAATAAGCCCCTCGTTCATCTTCCCCCGCTCCCGCCCCATCCGTATTTTCGGGCCTGATAAGACCAGGAAAATGCGAGAGGATGAAATGCAAAGCCAGTTCTCATTGTTCAGCTGGGAGGCCGCACAGCTGTGTCCCTTCGAACAAAATCTCCGGTTCTTCTACGGAAAACAAAATCCTCCCTCCCGGGGGCGTTTTCACCTCAGACCCCCAAGTCGTTTCGGGAAAGTGGTTCTCCTCCTCTCGCTCCCTAGTCTTCTCGCTCCCTTCCTTCCAGACACCCCTGACCTCACAGCCCGGTGGTCCTTCTGGCCCCAGTCCTCACCCCACACACCTCCACCTGCCCCCTTCTCGGCCTCCTCAGTGGGCACCTTCCCCGGGCTACTCCACAAAACGGAAATGCAAATTCCCTAGGACACCTCAGGGCAAAACCCGTGAACCCCGGGGCTAGAACAGGGTGTGAGGAGGTGTTGGGGGTACTGGGTGGGGTAGGGGAAGACCCGGGAAAGGGCAGTGGGAGTCGGCGCGTTCCCCTTGGGGACCCCACCTCCGGGGACGCGCGGGCGACAGCGGGGTTGTCGCGCGGGGTCGCTGTGCTCCGCCTCCCGCGCCCACTCTGAGGTCCTGGGGGCGTTTTAGGGCAACTCCGGGCCAAGGTCACGAGAGCGAGGGTCGCCGGCTCGGGGAGGGTCTGGGGAGCGCGGAAGAGAGGGGCGAGGGCCGGGAGTCGGGCGTCCCGGCAGTCATTACAGTAGGAAACCAGGCCCGAGGTTGGGCGTCCGCTCCACGGGCACCCGCCCGCTGGGCCTTTGCGCACTCACCGCAGATCTTCAGCCCCAGTTTTCGGGTGCATCCATGGGCCACGCCGCACCAAGTGTCATATGCTAGGACGAGAGAAAGTAGGATGGCCGGTCAGGGAGGAAGACTGAGTGGAGGCCAGCACCAATGGAGCGAGGAGCTAGTTCAGTGGGTGCACAGACCGAGTTGCGCCTTGGGAGCCACCACCGCACCATCCCCTCACTCCTTTGCTGCTCCCACCAGCCTCTTGGGCGCGAGGTCTTAGAAGCACGAAGGCCCCTGCTCACAGAACGACAGGGCCCAGCCCCGGAGCTCGGGGATTTTGTTTTGTTTTGTTTTGTTTTGCGCAGCACTCACCATCTAGCCCCGAGGCCGTAGTCTGGGCCCGAGCGACTCGAAGGGGCCGCTCACAGCAACCCAGAAAGGGAACTCAGAGGCATCTGGGACCAAAATGTCTCCTAATTTCTTGGCGGGTCTCCAGCCCGAGTGGCAGCTTAAAATAAACTGGCATGAAATGGGGTCGCGGAAGAGTTCAGGAATTAATTGGGTGAAAAATAGTATTTGACTAGATGATCGGGCTCGCTTGGCTGCTCCTCGCTCGGGGCCGGGGAGCCGGCAGGACAATGGCGAGCCTCCCCACCTGCCGCCCATTAACCCTTCCCTCGGACCGCTCGGGCTCGGGGTTGGAGGAGGCGGCTGGGACGGCGCGCTCTATCTCTGAGTTGAGCTGCGGACCCGGGGCAGCCCGATTTTAGCTGCCTTCGGGGGTGCCAACTTGGGAAGAGCGGCCCGGGTAGCAACCCGGAACCTGCGAAGCCCCAGGGCTGAGCGAAATCCCCTTCCCAGCTCCCCGCAGAGCCCGGCTAGTGTAATCATCCCATCCCCCGCCCCCATCCCACCCCCAGCCTGTGCCTCCAGCCGTGAGTGTTGCCTGCGATAAGGAGAGTGACAGCCATTACACACCAGGCTCAGCCAAGCCCCAGAGGGCTGGCTGGGGACGGCCCGACGGCGCGCGAGGACGCGGCGTGGCACAGGTGGAGTGTCAGGGACTGGACGACGTGCTAAGGCGAAGCCATCACCATCATCATCATGATCCAACAAAGATACTGGGCGGGTAAAAAAACAATTCCCATTGGGTAAAGTGTTTTATTTTAGACCTCACACCTTCGTGACAACCCAGCAGGAATGTTGATCTCAGACTCATTGGACAAAAGAAAAAGAAAAATATCGAAACCAAAAAACGAAACGAACCAAATCAAAACAAAAACTGATCTAGCCCGGAAACGTTAAGCAAGTTTTTCCAAGGTCACTCGCCCCTGAAAGCCTCAAGTTTCACGTTGCACTGCTGGTCAGAATTGGGGGTTACCATTAAGGAGAGTCCCTTGGATGTGATGTTGCAGGGGGTCGGGAGGAATTCGTGGCACAGGGCTTGGAGGGGTTCCAGGCTAGGCCCAGGGGTTGCGGGAGCCAGAGGGTAAGTTGCGCAGGTTGAGCAAGGACGCGTCCCGGGAGACCTTGCAGGGGCAGGGAAGCCGAGTCAGCTGGGCGGGCGAGGGTGTGTCTGTGAGGCGGGGTGAAAGTGGATAGGGCGCAGCGTGGGGCGCGGACGCCAAGTCTGGGCTGATGTAGAGGGCGGGCGGTGGTTCCTGGCATAGTCGGCGCTTTCTGTCTCGCCTCGGTGGCTTCAAGTGAGCCAGGCCTAGTGTGCACCTCGGTCACCGCCCCTTTGGGGTCCCCACCCCCAATCTGAGGTTACGCAACCCGCCAGGAACTAGGGACGCCCTGGGATGGGAGTGAGGGTGGTGATGGGAGAGGGCAATGGGCGAACACAAAACGACTGCCTCCCCACGGACCCTCTGGACAGCAGAAAGAGGGTGCGGGATGTGGAGGCAGTCCGGAAGGAAATCCACTCAAGTCAAAGACAAAAGGCGCGCAGGCCTCGCGTTTCTCCGGGGCCAGCTCTGCTGCCCGCCCGCCCGCGTCCGCGCTCACGTGCCCCGGGGCTGGCTGCTCTCCCGAGCCGCTCTTTGTTGTGTGGGTAATTGTCGCTTGCTTGGGTGGCGGGAAGAGCGAGCTGCTGAGAGGACGGGAAGACAGCTAGAAGGTTTGAGTCAAGGTCTCCAGCCCCCGGAGCCCAGTCGGCGTCAAAGGGTGCGTGTAGGGGGAGCGCTTTCCCAGAAAACACTCCCCGCCTTGGTTGCTGAGGATCTGATTTCCTCCAGCCCTTAGGTTGTGCCACAAAAGCAACAAGCACTCTAACCACAGAATCACAGGGACCTCTCCAAACCTCTCCAGAACCGGCTGGGGGAGAGGGGGAGAAATTGAGTCTGGAGCTTATATATGGGGAGGGGCGCCACTGCCCCAGGAGAAAGCAAGCATCTTCCCCTCCACCGCGTGGCTGTGGCGAGGGAGACGGTCAGCCCCAATTCGAAGCGAACGCTCTAGTGGAGGGGGGACAAGAGAGACGCCCCCCACTATCTCCTCTCTCCCCGACTTGTCGCCTGCTGACGACGGAGGAGAAAGGCAAAGGCGATTCCTCTTGTCCCCCGCCCCAGGCTCACGTCTGGCCAGCTCCAGGCTCCCCATCACTGTCTCGAGAGGATGCTCGGCCCGTTCTCCCCGCCCCCCATCTCCTTTCTCCCCGAGAGATGTCATTCATGGTATGGTTGTCGAGGCCCAGCCTCCAACAGCTCCGTGCGCCTTTCCCGCCCCGGATTTCTGCCTCCCGCGTCCACAGCTCGCACAAATTTAGAGCAATTAGGGACCCGGAGTTTTTCTAAAAGCTGCAATTAACGTCGAGCTCTTCGCTGATTACAGACTAGGAGCGCGGCGCTGGGGGGCGGGGAGAGGGCAGAGCTTGGCTCCAGCCTAGCCCAAGCCAGGAAAACTCTTATTCCTGCGGCTCCGCACACCACCCCCTGCACCCCGAGCAAAAAACCCCACTACACATAATGCAACACAAACAGCCCTTGCCGTGCGCCCTCCTCCAGTGCCAGACCCTCCGGCCGTCCGCCCATTCTCGGACCCTGCGTGGTCTTGGCCCTGCGGCGTTCTGGAAGTCACCCAATGTCCCCGACAGCCAAATGACCTCTGTCCGGCCCGCGGGGGCAGGGCTCCATTTATTTTCCGGCCTCCATCAACACCGCGCAACCCCTTTCTTTTTCCGCCAGCGCAGCTTCCCGCCCTCCCAGCGCCCCCATCTTCGCCGCACGCAAACCATTGGATAGGAAAACTGGGGCAGGACCTACTTGTGGGGCGCAGGTTGGCGGTGTTGGGGTCCGCTCCTGCGTTCGAGGAGGTTGCGGACGAAGAAGGTGTGGAAGACGCCATCAGCTTGGTGGTCTTAGGCCGCTACGGTCCCGGGTCCTCACGGGGTCGGGCGCAGGCACAGGCTGCAGAAAGAAGCAAGAGCTGCACCGGCCGGGCTCCCGGAGTCCTGCACAAGGGAGGCACCGGGAGCAGCTAGGGTGCCGACGCTCCGCTGGAGGTCGGGGCGCGGTGAGGGGCTGAGAGGCAGGGCAGTGAGCCGGCCGTGTCGGGGTGCGCGGCGGAGGAGGTGGGGGAGGGAAGGCGGAGACGTGCACGCTAGCTCGGGGACTCGGGCGAGGGCAACGAAGTCCCGCGCCGCGCTCTCCTGACTGGCGGCGTGGCAGGCGACCTTAAGTATAGCGCTTAGTCGGGTAGGCGGGGTGGCCAAGGCCAAGTGTGGGACGTGGGGTACCGGACAGTGAACCCAGGGGAGCATTTGATGGGCGACGTTCCCTCCCCGGCAGCGAAGAGCCCCAATGGGCGCCCAGCAGTGGACGAGCGGGCAGGTGGGGGAGGGGGGTCAGGGCGCGGGGCGAGCACGTCTGGTGCGGTGTCTGGTTACCCCGTTGTTGTGTCTGGCTAATTTCCTCGGAAAGAAGGTGGCTAGCGGCTCTGGGGGCCAGGGCTTTGGCGACACAAGGTGAGAGGAGGAAAGAAGGTCCACAGTTTAACGTCCTTGCTTGGACCTGGCCGGGGGAAGAACCAGTCACCTTGCACTCCAGACAGCCAGAAAGCAGTGGCGCGGAACCTCGCTCGCTCGACTGTCTGGTCCCACCCGGTTTGGAGCCATCCCCAAAGCTCAGGGCGAATCTCCAGCCCAGTCTTGATATTTCTCTTTTGTGCACCCTTCGTGACTCCCAGGACCCTAGATTTCTAGCTGTAGAGACCCCGAGAAAGTGGGGGTTGGGGGAAGGAAGAGAAAATTGGGAATCGTCACCCAGGGAAACGAATTTGCGCCTGGGGCGCAAAAGGCAGCGGACAAAGATCTTTGCGCGGCGCCCCCGATTGGCGCCGGCGTGATGGCGCCCGGAGGCCCCGGGACACAGAAAGTGCGGGCGAATCCTGGTAGATCTAAAATGCCGCTGAACAGTGACCACCAGCCGCCCACCGCTTCCTCACTCGGCCATCTGGATCCCCACACCGAGCCCCGGGTTAGTACTCCCACAGCAATGCAGGCTGCGGGGCGGGGCGGGGAACACCACGGAGACTGGGGGAAGTAACAGGTTATCGCTCTTCCTTGCGCCTTTGGCTGCCGCTACCCAGGTGCCCTTTGCAGACCAGGGAGATCACAGCTGGGAAGCGCCCCGGAAAATCACTCTCGCTCTACTTCTGCTAGATCCTCGGTCTCTTCGCGTCCCCGAAACACGAATGGGGCGGGCGGGGATAAAGGGGAGACAGGACTGGAAGTCAGGGAATAGGGTCCCCGCGCACCGACCGAGAAACAGGGACCAGCGCTAAGCTGAGGAGGGCAGGTGGCCTCTCACCGCGGTAGGGATTGGCAGGGAAGCTGCGGCGGGGAAGAGGACTTCACTGAGCCCTCGGGACTGGACGCTAGGAAGTCCAGGCAGTCGCACGCTCACCGATCTTGGCTTGGCCCACTGCGTTGCGCGCGTTCCCTCGCCTCCGGTGCGCAGCGTCCAGCGGTCTGCACGGATCAGCTCGCCCAGCCCTGCCACAGGCGAATCTGCGCGGCTTCACCTCCAGCTGCTTGGTCTCTCTCGCTAGCCCCGTCCCGCACGCGAGCGCCTGGAGGAGAGCGGAGACCCGGAAAGCCGCTGCTCGGCTTCAGGGGAGGCGGGGGCGGAGTGGGGAGGCGGGGACCCGCTCCGCAGGGGAATCACGAGGCAGCTGCTCGCGGGGGCAGATCGCTTGCCGAGCGCGGGTTCCTTTGCAGGTGCCTTTCTGCCTGTGGGCCTTTATAGGGCGACTATAAATCCAGCTCACGGGTTTGCGTCCGGGGGAGGAGAGGGACGGGGCGGGGGTGGGGGGTGGGCGTCCTATGAGTAATCCAGAGCGTATTCAGCAGGCTGCTTGCTGAAATAGGCAGAGTCTGGACAGAGGAAGGGAAGGAGAATTCCTCCGAAGAATTCTGCTTCGCTGAGCATATCTTCTCCCCTCCCCTTTCTACCCCGCCCCTTCCCACATTTGGAGAAGACCAGAGCTGTGATGTTCAGATGTGTCAGCCCCAGACTCCTGTTCCAGTGGAGGGTGCGCTCTGGATCGCGTCCTCCCGGCTCTTGGCCAGGGGCGAGGAACCTCCCCTTCCTCACTTTCCGTCCAGCTCCCAGCCCCTCCAAAGTACCTCGCCCGAGCACGGCCACCTGCCTGCCACCACAGAAAAGAGGGGTCTCGTTTTCCGGCGTTCTGCGCGCCCTTCTTGCCCGGCCTCCTTGGTGACTGGAGAGGTGGCGCTCCTGGTAGATGGCGACTGAAGGTTAACACGCGCGGACGCCGCTCGGCGCGCACCCGGAACCTGAGCACACGCGTGGCTCTGGAGGGACCCAGCAACTCTCCCTTTCATGCCCCCCTCGCTTTCGTTCCTCGCGCCCCCGCCCTGGATTGCACGCCCTGTAAGGCGTCTCCTTTTCCGATATTTGAGCACATTAGGTTGGGAGAAGACCCTCGGTGGTTAAAGGAAGGGGTGGGGGAAAGCGTTAACGAGAAAATTCCCACCAGAGGGCGCCAAGCGCCCAGGGACCCGGAGGCCCTAGGTTGTCTGGGTCTTTCCCCCGGCGCGCGAGCTAACATCTGGAGGTGCTGGCTAGGCTTTGCACTCGCAGGCTTGCTCTGACCGGCTCTCCACCGCCCTCCTCGCTCGTGCACGCGTCTCCTTTCCTCTCCGTCCCTCTGTTTCTCTAGGGCAAAACAAAGTTGATCTCTGTTCGGGTGGCCCGGTGCATTCCTTTTTGCAAGGGATCGCCCCCCACCCCGCATCAGCAGGCTGGGGGTATTTTTACGTTCGTCTGGGGCCTGGTTAGTTCACTCGAAGCCCTTCCTTTTCCTCTTAATGTCTTACTGCCTTTCACCACGACTCGTTGGAGACGCCGAAATTCTGATAAATCACCTACATGCCATGAAGGAGATCGAAATTCCGCCCTGGAAACAATCGAAGCCGGTCAGCAAAAAGACCACCGCCCGGTTTGAAATAATGGGTTTGCCTTTGATACAAAGAAAATATGCTTTCTCTTCACCTTACCGTGAAAGTCTGGGTGCCTTTGAAGGGCACAAAAATAGCCTAAACGGTGGGACGATGGGACGCACGGGAAGCACAGTCCCGGGGGCTAAGGCGCTGGGGTGAGCAGGCTGCAGGGCAGCAAATGCCTGCCCGCCCCAAGCCGCGCACCCGCGGCTGCCACTGTGTGCGGTTTACACAACGGAGAGGAAGCTCAGAATTCCACCCACGCCCCCTATTCCTCCCCTTCCCCCACGGAAAGGTCGCGCCAATCAGGGAGCTGAGTGCCAGGGCTAAATCACTGGTGATGCACGGGGCAAGGAGACAGCAGGGAGGAGACAACTCCCGGTGTCCCCAGGCGTCCTCTGTCACGCACAGATGCATACTAGCCTCCTCCCAAAATTCCCTGGCGAGGAAGAATTCCTTACTTCACCTGTGGCACTAGCCTGAGAAATGCCCAGCCACTTCCTCTTCAAATTCCAAAATGCATCCCGAACATTTCAACCAACAGGATAGTCTTGTTGCAAAATAGAATTTCTAGGAGAGTGGACAAAGCAAATCAAGGTCGAGAGGACGCCTTGGGCTTTTTATTTTTCCTTTTCTGGTAGGGAGGGGGGCGGAATGAAGGTGCCTCTTGGCTCTCGGTTTAAAAATATTTAATGAAATATCAGTGATTAATCAAATTGATATTCACTAATGGCCGAACAAAGGGCAGACACTGTTGTGAGGTGACATAGTCCCTGCCATGTCAAAAGTCACTCCAGTGTGGCAGGGAGTGTGGCAGACGTGGGAACGTTGTGGCGTTTTGATTTGATTTGCAATTGTCCCACATTTCAGCAGGGATAGATAGGCCTAGAATTGCACCCAGTTCCGAGGCCGGGCAGCGCGCCTTCAGCACCAGGGACAGTGTCCGGCCCCCAGGGCTCCGGAGCGCCGGCTGGCTCTGGTCAGCAGAGGCTTCCAGCTGCGTCGCCCTCGGGCCCAGCTCCCCCACCTCTGGCCTCCCAGCAGGTGCGGTGTGTTTGTTTGGCTTGGCACTGGTGGTGGGGAGGGGGAAGTATTCGCCCACTTGTCTCCCAGGCAAGAATCTGGAGTGAGGGCGGCTCTCCGGGATAGAATCGCAGCCTGTGTGTTTACTTATGTGTGTCTGGCTCTTTTTTCTCATCTCTGATGGCTCCTGGGGGAGATGGGGTGGAAAACAGACTTGCTCTCCAGGGACCCGACACGGAAGGGAGCTGAGTCCGCCCAGCTGTTGGTTAGCGTTTGATCTCAGGTCCCAGGCTTGGTGGGGGAAAGAGGGGAGGGGAGACAGGCAAGAGGAACTGGGGCCCCAGCGACCCCCCAGCCTCTCTCCAGAACCCCACAAACCCCATCCGGTTGGCCAGGGACGACCTTTTACTATGTCAGCCCTGGAGGGCGGGGATTTTGTCCTGGGGCGAGGAGGGGGGCGGCTTAAAGATTTTCCAGATGGATTCATGGTGGCCTTTGGTGCCAATGGTGAGCTGAGCATACGCATGGAGGGGGGAACCCCGACAGGCAAATTTCAGGCGTAAAATTAGGCTTGTCAAGTGAGTACTTAAAAAATGTCAGGTGGTTTCTTCCCCCCCGCCCCCCTCCCTTTTGGACACAGTTAACATTTTTAGGAGAGTAATTCAGAGCTAAGGCGTTGGTTCATTTCAACCGGCTCTTTAAGACCATTTTTTTTTAATGCCTAATTTATAACCTAAATAAGAGAAAATCTTTAAGTGTTCACCAATAAAAAGTGTGCAAATGGGAGCCTGGGGTAGGGTGATGATGTCAGCTCTTCCTTACCTCGGGCCTGCTTCAGGTTAGAGCCGAGGTCCACTCGCTGCGTTTGTGCACTTTAAAGACAGGACCCGAATCTTGCTGGACTTTCTTGAAGTCCACCATGTCTACTCTAACAGAGCATTCACCACTCATGCTCCTGCAGGCAGGAAG